ATTGGGATTTCAATTACAAAGAAGACGATGATGCACGAGGATGTCTGTGAAGGAGTAGGAAGTTCCTGCTCTGCTGCAAACATTGTACTGCAACTGCGTTTAATGCTGCCTCAGGATGCTGTGAAACCACTTTGCACTGCACACACACACTGCATGGCCATCATATTGCTGAATAGACTTTACTGCAAGGATCAATCCTATAAAAGCTACCATCAGCTGCCATGCTACAGGCTGAGCAATATAACGAGATACAGTAAGATAATCAGGTGTATTTACACCACTCTCATGGCAGCTGTTTTCAGAGACAAACGCTTTGAAGACCCACTGTGGACTAACTTCTTAGACTGCAGTAGCAGCACAACAGACAAAGTTAGCTACTAGCAGGTGAACATAGTGAAGCATTTAGCAGCTACAGAGCCACATATTTCATTCAGGAGTTAGTGGAGACCAAAACAGATCTAAAGGGAGAGTGAATATTGGATTTTTAAAAACAACTCTAAATTAATATTATTGTCGTTTTGTATCTGCTGGATGTGGTAGCAGGCCGTTCACTAATCAGAAGGTCGGTGGTTCGATCCCTGGCTCCTCTCTTTGTGTGTCAAAGTGTCCTTGGACTAGATACTGAACCCCCACATTGCCCTTCATGGCTGTTCCATCGGTGTATGGGTGTGATGTATGAATGTGTGAGTGAATGGGTGACCGTAGCAAGTCTTGTAAAGCACTTTGAGTGGTCAATAAGACTAGAAAATAAGTGCGCTCTATAAGTGCAGTCCATTTACCATTTACTCGGCAACTATTGTTAACAATTTCTTAAAAGGTGATAATATGTCGATGTTGTGTTTCCAGCTTGTTCAGTGTCACACAAATGGCAAAAAAAAAATCAGTTATTTCAGGGTTGTATACCTGTAGAAACCTAGCTCAGTTAAAAGTGTAGTGAAAATTGTTTTTGACTGTATAACATACAATGTAAAGCATACGAGAGCAGACAACATATTGGAGAGCTCCACTTTTGCTTTTTGAGAGATGCTCAGACGGATTTACTGTTTGGATGGAAATAGAAACCTTGACTGGATATGCAGAATATATGATACAGTGTTAATAAACCATCAAAGCCACATGACTGGAACTCTGTCTATCTTTGAAATTTTGTGTTATTTACGGTAGAAACAAGACAAATAATTAATATTAGAACAAAGCCAAAATATTCTACTTGACAGGCTTTCATAGAGCTACTGAAGTTTTATTTTGCCCCTATAGCAAGTTCCCACTAACACGCGATGTATGCATGTGGATTTCATGTTGGGATAATAAATTATAACTGGGGTGACAATTGTGATAAGATTTCTCCAAATAACCACAAGGTGATGTACGTTGTTCAGATTTTGTCTTGGCTTCAAAGTTTCTATAAAACCACAGAGAAAAAGACATCAGACCAGACAAGTGTGGAGTTTGTGAAATCTCAATCACATCTCTGCTGCAGTCAAAGCTGGGAGACAGAGACAAATGGAGCCAGTTTTCACTCCAGCAGTTCAACTTCTGTCATACTCTTGTAGAGAAAAAGAAAAAGACACAGAAACTCATCTCATCTCCTTGTACCAAAACAAGCCTGGAGGACCTAATAGCAGCATGTCTCAAGCATGACAACTATGCGGTTTCCTCCCCAGCCCTCCCCATTTTTTTTTTTTATGCCTCATTGTCTCGTTCACCCCTCTTCCCCTGCCTTGTTTTCTCCTGATAACCCTGGTCTCTCTTCATGCGGCCTCACCCCTATCTCAATCTCCCACTGTCACACACTCCATCATTCTAGCCTGCTTTATTCGCTGCCTACCCTCCTGCCTCCATTAAGTGAAGCAATGGAGACAAGACACTGGCTGCTTTATACAATGGCCCCTGTATTCACATAGCTGTTTACCTGTCTGCAGACAGCCCTCAGCACATTTGGCGAAGCAGCCATCTACACTGCAGGGACAAAAAAAAAACTCACATTCACAGTGGTCCCTTTGTTCCTCTGTACATTATGCACACCTGAGCATCTGCATGTAGGATATGTTGCCATTGAATGCAAATGAGTTGGGTGAACAGACTGGAGCAGTATATAAAACAAGGGAGGAGCACATACTATAAGTCTGAAAGAAATAGTAAAGCCAGGTAGTATTAAGGCAGTTATATGTTCTTTATTGTTTTGGCTCTACATCATAATAATGCATTTCAAATGAAAACAACTACAAGATTAAAGTACTGACTTTCAGCTTTAAAAGAGATTGGAGGATGGATGTGAAAATTGTAACCTTTCTTACCAATCAAGGGGGTATATGGGTAAAAAGAGCTAAAATCTGTATATTGAAAGCTGATGTAAAGACTCATATTAAAGCGGAACATCAGCACTTTACTCTCCTGGTCGCTGTTTCATTTTAAATCTGATGCTCTGGAGTACAGAACCAAAACTATCCAAATATTTGCAGACTGAACTGTTTATGCACTTACATGAAAAAGATAAGCCAATACATAAAAATAAAACCTCTTTCAAAGACGTTTGTTATATGAGTTTTGCAGGTATGGAAATATTTCTGCATACGAAAGGGGAAAATGCTGCAATTTTCCCTGTAGTACTGTACGTGTAGGCGTGTGTGTAGCCATTGGTGTATACTGCAGGGGCAGATAGATGGGAAAGCCCACGCGCTGGATTTCTGGACAAATTGGCTGCCTTTCGTCTCTGCTCCTCTTTAATTACACAGTACTGAAGCGCAGGGGCTACCTACCTACCAACCAAATACTGCAGAAGGAGATATCAACAGCGCCGTTTATCATGCAGAGTGCCGACCAAAGTGGTACAGCTAAAATGTAGTCTCTCTCCTCGATCCTCACGCTAAGAATAGACACATTGCCCACATCATCAAGAGTACTTCTGTTTAGAAGTCAGTGGGGGATTTTGGGATAGAAACGGATGATTAAGTTGTACTGAGAGGACATTAAAAAGGCCACAAATGCCTGTCAAAATTACAACTAGTACCATGCAGTAAGAGAGTAGCAGGATAGTGACATGTTTTTCACTGTTTTAGCTTTAATCCAGCACTGTGTCCTTGAAATGAAACAGTGACTATCAGGTTAAAGTGCCACCTTTCAATTATACATACACTACCACTGCCACTATTTTTGTGTTTGAGGGTGTTCACATCCATATTGGGCAAATACTCGCAGCCCTTTTTATACAAGGTCACTCAATTTTCAGACAAAGCAGCAGGAGAATGATCAAATGTGCAGACAACTGATCAGCCCCCCCCTCAACCCAACTGATGAAAGTGCACCAAAAAAGCAAAAAGTGAGGATGGATGGATCTTCACTGTATTGACTTCATTGGATTTGCAATAAATATTAAATATGATGACTTCACTTAAGATCGTGTTAACTTGTCTAATTACTTCTGGTCCCCATAAATTGGGGGAACTACGTATGTATATGTGGCCCTAATATAAACAATTAACCAAATAAAGCAACAGTTTAAATTCGGGTCATGCTGGATTGATGTGGAAAACTCACACTATGAGAAAATTCCACTCAGTCATACAAAAAATAACTTTTTGTGAATGTTGTTTGTTGAATTACTGAAAATAGAAATCATTGCATTGTGATATTAAGTCTGAAAAACTAATCAGCAACATTTTACATGACAAAGTCCCCAAGCAACATAGAGATGGACTGGCCAGACCATTCTCTGTAATAGTTTTGTTGTATTGTATGGTGCCTTATTGGTACATGTGTAGGAACTGTGGTTTTGTGCTCTTCTCTAGAGTCAATATTATACTTCAATGACACACACTGACATGATAATGCTGTAATGAATTGAACGCTAGGCCTGCACAACCATAGGAGCCAAAAGAGGGAAGAAGCCAACTAATGGCTCCACATATATCTCAGTGATGAAATTTCTTTCTGGTTTCATTTTCTCTGATAAGTGGAGGAAATAAGCGATGAGAACGAGCTTCTGCTTGTCACAATTTTCCACATAAGTGACAATGAAAGGTCGCAAGAAAAGGATGCATCACAAAACAATGAAGAGCAAAGGAAATGTCTAAATATTCATGCATATACACATATGTGTCTTTATCAACCTCCTCCATTTTTTTTTTTTATAAGAATAATAATAATGATAACACTGATAGACTGCAGCTGCCCCAGCAGTTGCATACACACCATTTAGCATCACTAGCGACACAGACACCTCACTAAAGAAGAAAAACAATGCAGGCAAGACAAAGGGAGAAAAAGAAACAGATATTTCTTTCTGCTTCACCAGTGCCACCTGGGGCAGCAATCAACAACCCTTCCACTGCCTATTAGATACTGCTCCCACTACAATCAGTATCCACTAAGGCATATGCACAAGTTCGACATTGCACATTAGTTGTTTGTGTCTCCTGTGTGTGCAGGGGGTTTGTGTGTTTCTGTTGTGCTGAGTCTGTTTCTGTCACAGACCTCACCCCCGCAACATAAGGAGGATAACACATCGAGATAAGCACTTTAAAATTCATTAGGGGGGGCTCATGGGGAAACTCATCCAGCTGAGGCTGAATAGGAATCTTCGCCATGTGTCAGCGGCTAATATCTTCTTTTCGGGGGGGGGGGGGGGGGGGCCAGAAGTGCACTATAATCACCAGGCCACGGCAGCACGGGAAGGTTTTATGCAAATATTTATGCACATTCCTCACTCTAGCTCCGTATACAGTATTTGTTTTGACTTTGGCCAAGTAATAAGGTGAAAGAAAGAAGGAGCAGGGAGTGATGTAGAAGCATACAGATAAAGAGATGGAGGAGGTAAAAATGATGAGAGAAGTACGTTCTGATGCAGATAGAAAGAGGTGTATTTGGACAAAGTAAAGAGAAAGAAAACAAAAGAAAATGTAAAAGAAAAAAAAGTACAGCACAGAAAAGATTTCAAGGGCAGAGCGGCAATGAAAAATGGAGGAAGCAAAAGGGGGAGCCACCAGGCAGATTGACTCTACCTTCAGTGGGGTTGATAGCTCCTGGTAAGCTGTCCCACGGGAGGGTCCAGGCAGGGCAAGGATGAGGAGCGAAGACTGCCTCGATACCATTTTCCTAAGGGAGGAACACACAAGCACACACAAATACACAGGTTACCATAGAAACCCTTCTACAGCCTTAAGGTTCTGTGGCCCAAATGGTTATAATGAAGCAAATCAAAGAGAGCTGCTCTTGAACAAGGCCTTTGTTACCTTACTCACGCTGATCTGAAGCTATACCTGAGGAAAAACCACTGCTAGTGCACTTATTACTCTCTCAAGAGAGAACAAATGTTTCACCAGCACAATACATGCTCCTGCACATCCAACCCACTTTAGAGAACTACTGGAGAAACACAGAAAATTGAGGCAGAAAAGGTAAGGTATTTTTTTTTGTGTCTCTCTTTAATGATAAGAGGGTCGGAACAATAAAAAGGTACTTAGAGACAGTCTATAAAGGCAGGGAAACGATGTTGAGTCATTACTGTTAGAAATAAATTCATTTTAACACGCATCTCTTTTGGAAGAATCTTTTATGACTGCCACACGCTTGCCTTCAGATGAATGGCCTTCTTAATTAATACTGATAGCAGGTGCTACGTAACCACTAATAAACATGAATGGGTGTGCGGAGCAGGGAAAATATCTTCCTCATTTTTTTTTCTTATTTCCAACATAAAGAGGTATCTGACAATAACTCAAAACTCAAAAACTGAACTAATATACTAATGTGATATCTTATTTAAGTGTATTCCTGTTTAGTTATCAGGGTTACCCTGTTCAACCCTGTATTTCATGATTACTGAACTTAAAAAACACAACCATCTACACCAGTGAGCATAGTGTTATAGGTGCAGTGGTAGTGTAAAATTATTGTGGGTATACTTCATATCAAAGCATATTGCCTAACATACATTAAAAGATATCCACAGAGAGACCAGGAAAATATAAACACTTCATATGATGTAATGGAATGCAATACAAAAAGCCCTGCAATAAACACAATTTATTATAAATATTTAGTTGTCAGCAGTACTAATTCACTCGCTATGACATACTGGGACTGTACTGTGTGGTGTTGTGTTAAAACATTACAGGATTTCAAAAATATTCTGTTCTAATATTTTCTCTACTTTTTTTACATTAATGGAGGGGCAGAAGTATTGGAAACATCTTGTGACACAAGGCAATCCAACACTAGAGCAACACAAACTACAGCCTCAAAATGACCTCAGAGTTAAGTCAACACATTTTTTGACACAGTTTCAAAAACACTAAGTTTCCCACAGTAGCATATTTTAGAGAATTGCAATTGCAATGTATTGCAATGGAGTTGGAGGGGCTTTAATTTTTTTGATCACTGGATGAAGGCACGTGAGGTATATCAACTAAGTCGACTAATTAATGTTTGGCTTCAATAAAAGCCAGAATTAATTTAATCTAAAGAAGTGATTCGGTTTTAAGATGTTCCACCAGCTGTGGTCCACCACGACGTTACTGATTTAACTAAAAGTCTAATACCACTGCAATACTCAATGTGGGTGAGCCAGTAAAATGTATTAGTACATTTAAAAGCAAATTACTTGACTGTGCAAATGCTTTACATGTATATACACCTAATCTTCATATACAGCACAAAGTGAGTAGTCCTAATCACCAAATTAAATGAAACTGATCAAAATCATCAATATACTTTGATTTATGATCATAGCAAAATGATATAGGGAATGCCAGGGCATGATTTTGGAGAAAGTAACATGTGTCAGTCTGACTGGTATGGTAACATCAGTTGAGCCCCATGGTCGAGTGTTAGAGCCTGAAAACAAGCTTGGGAGCAGAGGTTAAGATCAAGTGAATCTGCCACAACAGAAATGTTAAACAAGGAGCAGCAACAGTGTGGTTCAAAAGATCAGCATCGCGTCTGTGTTGGTTAGGTCACATTTACAAGATGCATCAGTCATAATCTAAAGCTGCATTAAGGTGGACATTATTGTCTTGACAGAAGACAATAACAACTGAGCTGGTTTAATGGCGAACAATGGCCAAAACCTTCAACTGGACCAAGAGCGACTATATAGCCCCTTTCCCACTGGTCAAAAATCCCGCTAAGACTCGCTAACATCAGCAATGGAAAAGGGTACAATTGGCAATCCCACCTGAGTAAAAACGCAGTATTCATCAACTCAAGCTTCCACTGGCATCGCTGTAAACAACGCTCGAGTGAATCCACTAATTTTCTAAATTTGAAGTATATATCCTGTCATAAACAACAGAAGGTTAGTTTCAGAGCACCAGTTTCCACAGGAAAAGACACAGACATTCAGTAATCCCAGTCTCTGGAAGACAAACTGTCCTGTTGTTCCAACCGGGAACTATTTTTACTGCTATCAGAGATTAAGCTGTGCTAATGTTAGCAACTGGAAGAGTAAGAGCCCTGTCAATCAAGTAGGGAGTAGCAGCAGTAGCAGTTTGAATCTCACATTGTGGTGTTGGGGCTACCCTTTTGTTTACATTTAGTGGGCAGGTTGTGTGTCTACACCTCATTGCACAGGCACTTTGACTGGCATGCATCACTGTGTGTTAAGTGAAGTGGGAAAGAGGCAGAGTTTATGAGCCATTTATACTGTGGACGGTGCAGCGACATGAGCCTGGTGCGTCTGGTTAGCAGCAGTGAAGGATCACGTGTCACCAAGTCAGACGACAGCCCTCTCTGTCTCTATGCACTTGCCTTGGCAGACACACAGTCATATATGAGAACATATGAACACACACACACACACACACACACAGGCACCTTGGCCAAGACATCACAACAGCTGCACTGCAGACATGATGGTGGCGACACGCAGCCATCCTTGTAATCCCTCCAGGCAGAAAAAAAAAGAATAGTGGCCATTGTATGTGTGTGTGTGTGTGTGTGTGTGTGTGCATTGCTCTCAGTTTTAATGTCTGATTTCAACCAGCCATGCAAACTGTCATTTGAGCACATCTGTGCCTTAACTAAATTTCATCCGGCAACATTGCACGTTTAAGGCACATCCCATCCTGACCACCCAGCTCACTCAGCCTCATTTCAACTCTCCAAACCCTCTTTTACTGCTCTCTTCCCATCACTTAATATCACATTGTTAAAATCACAGGAAGATCTTTGCTGAGAGAGCAGTGCAACAAGGCCAGGAGAAGAGTCTGAAGGGCTCAGTAGTGAGAGGTTAGTTGGGGCTGATGAGAAAAACTCCTTTTAAACAGCTGGGCTTGTTTATATCCTGCTGAAAAACTAGTTCAAAAAATGTTGCAGGGACAATGTTTGGAGTGCTATGGAGCAAAGTAAGCTGTAAATGTGTGTAAATGTGTAAATGTCTGTAAATGTGTGTGACTGTATGTGTGTGAGTGCGTATGTGTGTCATACCAATGCTCCCTGAGGGAACTATATTTTAAGAGTGTGGATGCATTATGCTAGTATTGTGCATTGTCTTGTCTCTTTACACTAAGATTTTCAGCCATTACAAGAAACTACTTAGTCTGGCTATAAAACATTGTTTTGTTTTGGACTGGATTCATTGTTTTTATTGCACCTGAAATGAGGATAAGCTGAATGTGCGCCGTCTGCAGTACTGCAAGTGGCAACAGGATCCACTGAGAATACTGAAGTGAGCATTTCAAAAGTGTACTGAGGGGCAGTAAAATACTGTTGTTATAAACACATTGTTTTGTTGTAAGAAAGGTCACTTTTTTGTTAGTTTGTCTTGACTGATTATGTCATACAAACAACCTCTGTGAGAAGAAAATCATGTGTACAGATAAGCATCCTAAAACCTTCAAACAGCCCACTTAAAATGTTAATCCTGTGACTGAAAGCACTTAGCATTTAGGCACTGGCAGAAAAACGAACATTTCAGCAATTAAGAAAGTCTGCCAGAAGCCATAACATTAACTTAGAGCTGCACTCCTGAAGGCACAATCAGCAGAAAATGGAGGCATGAAATTATAGGGATAATGGTTAACAACCAGTTGGAGCCTCCACACTGTCTATCTGTGCTGTGAAGGGGCAATGGGAGACAGCTTCTTCAATTTACAGTCTGTAAATGTGTGTGTGTTAAAGCAAATATGTTTGGAGAGCACAGAGAGGTAAAGTATGATGAGAAATAAGTGAGGAAATTTACTTTAAGTTTAGTCATTGTGGGTCTGGGGCCACCGACAAAAGGCTGGTCTGTGGTCATCTCCTGGTTTTCTTCTTGCTCCGGGGGGCTAGTTGGGTTGTCCTCTGCTGACGGCTCTGGGAGTCCGGATGTGGGAACATGGGGGATTGAAAGAGCCATGCCACAAGCTTTGGCTGCCCGGAGGACCCCTGGTACATCCTGAACACGGCTGTACCAATGCAGCAGGTGGGGGAGCCGATGAAGAGTGTCTGCAGCGTGGGCCTGGAGGGAACACTATCAAAGACAATGAGAGGAATGAAAGAGAGAAGAAAGAAAACAAGCAGATACTGATTAAATGACTCATCTAACATGTCATTGTCCAGCAGAGCGAGATATTAGGCTCAACCGGAATTCACTCATCACACTGGTGGACAGACACACTCGAGGGCCAGGCAGGAAAAACATACAAAACAGCGATGGCAGGTGGGTTAAGGGTTAAGGACACAAACAGAGACGTGATCAGAAAAGCAGTGTCACTGTGTGTGACTGTGTGTGGACGACAGAAGAAAGGGAGAGGGACATGGACAGAGAGGGAGGACGGGGCAACTCTGAAGTACGGGAAGTGGGTGGAGTGGGAAGGATCCGTCGTGGCTGCATGTGTCGTGGACAGTAATGGCCGTTAAGAGGAGACACGCTAGGCTGAGTGTGAAACTGGAAACCACTGGAGCACAGCTGACTACTAAAAGCCTCATTGTGGGAACTTCAGTTCATTCCCACAGTTGAGGAAAAGCTCGGAGACGGCTGAAGGGTGAAATGGAGGTTGAGATCCACTTCAACTGCCTGACAGTGCAGCATCCTGATCAATAACAATATACCATTGAACTAAACAGCGGTACTACTCTCTGGTCTCCGCTGCAGTTACTTTAATTGCTCTAACTAACTTTGCTTGTAATATATGCAATCATTATGTGTCATGAATATGTAGAAAGTCTGGCAGTCTGCAGAAATTTTTGAAGTTCAGAGTTATATGGACAACATAACAACCCACCAGTTCTTGATCGGTTGCAGAGAGAAACATGTTCCCAAAGTAAGGTCATTGAAATGCATTTCAATCTGCTGCATTTGAATAGAGGCTCTCCCATATACTGTTATCACCCTTTGCCAGGTGGCTCTGGACCACCTTTGAGAGCAAAACCTGTGCCAAGTCTTACGCAGTGAGTCTTCTTAACTCAAGTTTCTGCCTGGATGGATCTGAATAAAGCTGGATGTACTGTCTGCTCACCCAGACCAGAGTGTCAAAACCAAAAGTCATGCATAATTTGACAAGTCATCATAATAAAGGCATTTAAAAACGCCGTATATACATGTAATGGGGGTCTTGTAGCCTGAATGGCACCATCTATATAGTGACATCAGACCTCAGTTATGTGTGCTATTGTTTATGCTGAGAGACAAAGCTTTGCATGGCTACACTTGATTGCTCATGGCACAGTAATGGGAATTTTGCTCGTAGTAAATGTTGTAAAGATCATATTGGGTCAAAACCATGAAAACATAAGACTTATACAGGAAACTTGCTGAAATTAAATTAGCATTTGATGTGTATTCATGGATCCAAATGATGCTATAATTTAAGGCAGTAATAAGCGCAGAGTCTTTAGCCACAAGGGTTCATTACTGACGACACTCTCAAATATAGATCATAAACTCCAAGGCCCTTACCAGGTACTGATAGATGCATGGCAGCAGCACCACATCAGTCAGAGTGAAGTACAGTCCTTCAGCAAACACGCGCTCCAGCGGAGGGAGATCTGTGGTCTTCACTTTCCTGATCTCGGAGTTCTCTCTAGTGGTCAAAGCTGGAACTGAATCCACAGACAGCTTGGCCAAAGCAGCCCTGAGCTCAAGTGTATCACAGACCTGAGCCGACTGTCCAGGTTTGGACTCATTGTCAACATCTCCTTGGCCTCTAGGGGACTCATTCTTTTCATTCTGCCTCTGCTCTTGGAGTTTCTGCCTTCGTATTTTGTCATCATTGTGGACTTTGACAGGCTCCGCTAGCCTTTGCTCTAAGGTGAGGATGGAGAGAGGCAGCTGCTGATATTGATTTGTGGGATTTTGGAGGTGTTCTTCTACGGCAGAGGGGATGCCAATTTCACACAGTCTGGTCCACTTGCTCACCTGAGAGCGACGGAAAGAGATTAGAAAAAGATTTAAGGAGATTTTTCAGGTCAAATACAGCACTGTCTTTCAACTGAAGGAATGATTAACTGTTTATTGTCTCAAGTGTTTTACTGATGTCTGCTGATACTGTGATCGAAGCTTAATTAACATCAACTCTGGTCATGTTGTGTGGTCATTAGAGTAAAGTTAAAGTAACTCTCGGGTAAAACCTTGTTAGACTGTGAGGGAGATGCAGTTTAACCACTGAGGGCTTCAAATTTCACCAGCCAAGGAAAAAGTACAGAGTAGAGAACCACTGACGACTTAAACAATAAGCATCAAATTATCAAATTTGAGGAAAAATCGAGACAAAGTTGCGAGGCAATCATTTGAGTTATGTTAGATGTACTGAGTTTATAAGCAGTTGTAGATTTCCAGAAGAACTACTCCACTGTAACCAAACTAAATATGAATAAATTCATGTCATTGATTATTGTTTATTCTCCAACAATAAATTGGAATAAAAGGCTAAGTTATAATGGTAATTAATCTGAAATAATTATAGATAGATAGATAGATAGATAGATAGATAGATAGATACTTTATTTATCCCCTAGGGGAAATTCTTGTAACGTATGTAACTTGGACATCCTCAATTTTCCCTATGATTAAAACTAAATAATCAATAACCTTCTGAACCTTCTGAATTAAGGCCTTCTGTTGCATATCAGATAATGGTAACCTTAAAATTAAGTCTTACTGAAATTTTGACTGACTGACACTAACATAATAGTTTTATTCCACCATGCACACTAAATCGGTTTGAATAGTCTACTGCCACAAGCCAGGCACCGTGTTTCTATGAAAGGAGTTACATAGCAGAGAAACATGTTTCTTTGAATAGTAAGTTCATTATAGTTGGTTAAACTGTTCACATTGAGAGGCTAAGTCAAAACTCTCTGCATCACCTGTGACTTTAATAAAAGTCAAAAAGTGTACATTTTAACAATAAACCACTCTGTGGCTGATGCTAAACACCATTCAGGCACTTTCTATCTATATTGAGCGCATTGGTTTTCCTGCTTTCCACTGACCTCTGCACAGGCCTTCAGACAGGTCTTCTTAAAGCCCAGCAGTGCCAGCACATCATTTCTAGAAGGGTCGGCCTCTAAGGTCTTGTTGATGATATGTCTCAGGACCACTGCCAGTCCAGCTCTGCAGAGCCGCCCCGTCTCATCCAAAACAGCTGGGAGACGGCAACCTTTCACCAACTGGGGCAGATCCTCCAGCTGAGTGTCAGACACATCCACAGACTCCGGCAGCTGACTCTTCAGTGTCTGGAAACTGGTAGGTTTGCTGAAGACCAGAAAAACTTTGAAAGACTTGCACTCGCAGTACGACAGAAGAAACAGGGCTATGGAGGTGTGCAGCGGAAGACGAGGTTCCTCACTCTGGCAACAAACTCCTAAATAGAGGGAGGGATGCTGCTGCTTATCGTCCGTGTGCTTCATTGTAAAAATGTTGCTACCGTGGAGTAAAAACAGAGCTAGGTTAACAAACAACTAGCTTTGGGTATGTGACCGAGTGTCCTTTAAAGGATGGCAGCTAGTATGTGTAAGCTATAATACCATTTTGGATCCGACGCTTAAAATGACATTAATAGATACTCACTGCAGCTTTAGAAACGCGCATAAAAACTACTGGCAATTTCAATAAAACCACGTTGTTATGGTACACGCTTTCTCGGGCAGTGCGGCTTCTTCTTTCCCTGTGCCAAAGCTAAGATGGCTCCACAGCGCCATCAGCCGTCTGCTATCAAAACGTACGAATCAATGCTAATGGATATAATGCGTACATTAGAACGCTGTATTAATTGCACAATATAAATACAGATATGCGTGCATTTTGAATGCAGGAATTTATGCAAGACTCTTGAATACAAAGATTAAAAGGGTTCCGCACGCGTAGATTCCGGACATATTTAACGGTTGCACAAATTGTAAGGCGAAGGCTGCGTCCCGGCTGCCTGCTTCTTTTGTAGGAAGTGTTGCTCAGTCGTCATTTGTTCACCAAAACGAACATACCGGTTTACAGGACAGGTATTTTACCAGAAGCAGAGTGTGAGGTAATGTAACCAAACTAAAACTAATAATCTGTGAACTTGATTTTATAACTGACAGCTGAGCGGGAAGGTAACTTCAGCCACTGTGCCGTTGGTACAATGCTCTGAGTGTCCGGACGAACAACGGTCCAGAGCAACCAAATGAAGTCGTTACGTACGTTTGAATGTACGTAATTATTTAAATTTAACCCAACTGACCGAATCAGGACAGTAATAACATATGGGCCCTAACCCAGAGGACTATCCTACCTTCGCAAATAATGTACTATACCCAATGATTATTGCAGCTGATGCTCAACTACTTTGGCCTATTTTCTCTCCTCCCTTCTCCTCTCATTCTATTTTGCATTATTATGTAATCTAATGTAATTATTGTTGATGGCTAGGGTCATCAGTGTAAATGTTTCAATATAAAAACAACAATTGTATGAGTGGCAAAAGAGGCCAGGCTTCACTGAGAGAGAGAAACACTGAATATTTAAGTCCTCCTAAATGTTTCATGTGGAGAGGAAAAGTGTTTATTTATGTTATTTATGTTAACAGCCCAGAGTAATACAGCTGATAGTGAAAATGGACATTAAGACTGCACATTAAGTAACTAAGTGATTCCAGCTAGGAGGATGCAGATACAAGAAAGCTTTTGTTTACACTGTGTTGTATTGACTGTACCAAAACTCTGTAGAGATTAAGGCCTTGTAAAGACTTTTTCTTCAAAGAACAGTATCCTTGTCTCATGTCTAAGCCAGCCCATGTTAACACTGCAATGTCTATATGGCGGCTGCAATTCTTGTTTTGTCTTTTTATGTTATAGAATAGAAGCAACTTTTTTTTTAACCAGATTTGTCTTTGAATGCCTGGAGCTGGTATTTGAGGAAGTTGTAACTGAAGCCTAATAGGCTAACTTTATTTTATTATTTCCAGTTTAAGCAATGGCTGGACCTGTCAGTCTGGAGTTGGATCCCATCTTCCTAAAGGGATTGAGTTACCTGCACTCTAAGAGTAAAGATTCAGCTGAGAAACTCAAAGCTTTACTAGATGAGTCCCTTTCAAGAGGAAGTGACTCATCTTACCGCTCTTCACAAAAAGTAAGGATTTAGTCACGTACCCACCTTATTATTGTTATGTTCTCTTTCAATTTAATTGGTGTGTAATTATCCAACTAAATGCTAAGTGCTCTGTATTATCATTGTGTATTCTCAGGATATAGAGGTGTCCAAGGGGTCTGTGTCAAAACTGAGCTTAAGTAAACAGGACTCCAAGTCCTCTTCAAGTTCTTCATCCTCCAGCAGCAGCAGTGGCAGCAGCAAATCCAGCTCAGAAAAGAGCAAGAAAGAAGGAGAGAAGAGACCCTCTGAGAAGGTACCAGATAAATTCTGTATCTCTTTGATCAGAATAAAATTAGTCTTGTGCTCAGAAAGACATTAATTTTCATGATTTTACATGCAAAGGTGTGCCAAATGGCAAATACCATCCTATAGGAGAAAACAGACATTGCAAAATAAATTCAAAACCACACAAAATATGTTAGTGGCTGCCCTGACTATGGCTTTGCATTTCTTTGTCAGCTATGTTCCAGTCATGTTTGAAGTAGTACAGCATAAATTATTAAAGTTGTTAAGTCATGATCAAATGTAAAACTACATGACCGGAGGAAATGCTATGTTTTTATGTCTTGGTTTTCAAGTTTCTTTTAGACCTACAGCATCATATTGCAAAGCTGCACTCTGCAAGAAAGACTAAGCAGATCCATACAGTTCAGGTCAGAACTGATTACACGATGAGGAGAGTAGTGCCCAGAGACTTCCTTGAAGTGCAAGATGCACACATGCATAATTCCATAAAGGACTGCTTGTAAAATAATGAATAAGGTAGCTACATGTTGACGATGTTATGATTTGATGTCAAACTGACCTCTTTCTGTCTTACTGGCAAACAGGTTAGGGTTGACTTGGGTGAGGCGGACCCTCCGAAAAAGCCTCGCTTGGAGAAACAGGAGAATCGTTCTTCTCCGATTACCGTTCAGACGAGCAAAGACCTCCTGTCAAACATGAACGACAACGAGGAGACCAACGCTGATGACTTTGCCATGGAAATGGGCCTGGCCTGTGTGGTTTGCAGGTACATGTTAATTATAAGTAAATAAATTAAATTTGAATTTTTGCATGAGTATCCAGGATATCAGTACACATTCCCGTGCAGTTATTAATATTTCTAAACCTTTCTTCAAGCCTGGAAAATTAATAACGTGTTCCTTTCAAATTCTTGTGTTTTTTTGTTTTTTTTTTTAACCTAAGACAAATGACAGTCACAATGGGAAACCAGCTGGTGGAATGCCAAGAGTGCCATAATCTGTATCACCAGGACTGTCACAAACCCCAGGTGACAGACAAAGAAGTTAATGACCCCCGGCTTGTGTGGTATTGTGCCCGCTGCACCAGGCAAATGAAACGTATGGTGAGGAAAATTAATTACGCTTCAATATCAACTTATTATTAATTATTTTATATAGCACATCAGCGCTGAACAGCTGACTGGTGAGTCCATAGTCATGTCACTAGGAGCTGCTGTTTTTGTTTAAAACAATTCTTATTTGTCCAATAGGCACAGAAACCTCCACAGAAGCCGTCCCCTGCATCTGCGTCATCAGCGCCTGTTGTAAAGGACACACTGGTGAAAAAGGCAGAGCTTAAATCCAAACCTGACACAGCCAGCACCTTCCAAGCCTTCAAAAGAACAGAAGTGAAGGTCTGTGTTAACTCAATACGGCTATCACAGTGTATGAGACTTCAAAAGCATGCAAGACGGTATCGATGCCAACAATGTGTAGTGATGGGATGTGAATTGTTAACATTGTGTGTCACCCTCAAGGTCAGCAAAAACTAGGGTTCTCCATCTTTATGACTGGTAGCAAGTGAGAGAAGAGCAATAGCTGTCAATGTGCAAAACTGCTCTAAAAGGCAGACTGCATAAATGAGGAAGGAGGAGGATGAAAATGAGCAGAAAGTATGCACTTATTTTCAAGGATCAGACCACGGACTTCTGCTGCTGTATCATTTCTCCAGAGGGAATGGGTGTAAAACTTTTCAGAGTACATTTACTTATTGGAGTTCACCATGAAGTTATTTTGACAGCAAATATTAAGCCTTTAGTCAGTGATTTGATTATGTTAATACCAGCCGCAATGGGAATGACAGTTCTGTTTGTTTCCAGTAAAAGTATTGCTCAAGTAAGCAAGTTGAGGCATTGTCTAGCTCGCAGGTAACTCTGCTGATTTCCGTATCTTACACAAATATGTAGTTGGGCACAGGATTTATCAAATAAATAGCTTTGATGAACACTGACAATTTAATTCCAGAAGTATTGGTGTCTTCTTCGTTACAATTTCTGTTGAGCTCGTGTTGCACTGTGATAATTGCGGTGACTGTTTTTCATTTCATGCAGGCATCCACAACATCAGCCAATCCCACCAGTAGCAGCTCCTCCTCCTCGGGCAGTGGTCTTACAGGCTGGGCTGCATTTGGCGCCAAGACAAACCCTTCTCTTCCTCCCAGCTCCAAACTGGGTTCCTCAGGCCCAAGTGGCAGCAGCAAGACCTTGACAGCTCCCTCTGGCCAGAAACCTGTCGGCCTGTCTGGGCTAGCTGGAGCCAAGTCGGGACTTGGCGGTGCAAAGGTACCCGGGGGAGGAAATGGAAACGGCTCCAGCCAGGTGCCTGTGAAATCTCCGCCACCCCTGACTCTGGGTAAGCAGCCATTGAACCGTTCATCGAGCGGGGAAAACCAAGGGAAAGGCTCTGGGTCATCGGGGGGCGGCTCCCCGAGCGGCTCCCAGGCAAGTGCAGGAGGGAACGGAGGCAATAATGGAGGAGGTAACGGAAACAATGGGAATGGGTCAAAGGCTGCACCGGGGGACAAAGCACCGACATCTCAGGAGTCTCAGCTTAACGCCATGAAACGGTTACAACTGGTGAAGAAGAAAGCAGCACAGAAGAAGCTGAAGAAATGAGCAGAGATGGAGAGAAACGAGCAGGAGGAGGAGATCTGAGGGAGTAGAAAATAAACCCTTAAACAGTGTGAAATTAGTGCCAGAACATTATGTTTGTATTACAAGAGCATCTGTACATGGATTAACACCATCCAGTCAAATACTTGAATCTTACTTTGTGTAAATGCTGCTGGACTCTTGTGTGCCTCGTTCTGTCCTAACAAATCTAAACATTGGAAAAAAGTGACTGTCACTTTTGATCAACAAACGTCATTAAATATCCTCTTCTTATAAACTGAGCATAGCACTGACTTTGTAGCATGTGGTGTCCCTAAATGTGAGTCATTATGTTCCGCTTGACAAAAAGAATGGATCACAATAGTTATCATTAAAGGATCTGTTTATATAGCACATATTTGTTAAAATATAAATGACATTATAGATTTCTTCATTTTACATTCACATAAAACATAATGTATACTTCATGTATAAATCATTTCACATACAACGTTTGCTTCATCAATAGATTATTTCACATATAATATTTGCTTCATCTGTAAATCAGTTCACATATAAAAATTTACTTCATTATCAATATAAACTCAACAACACTGAAGTACAAAAGTGCTTGGCACAGTGCCCTGTGTTTACCCACCATCATTATCCACATTCATCAGATTACTGGTCAAGTCCCATTGGTGCACTCTCCTCTTATGATCCTCTAGAGGCAAAGAAGATTCAACATCAACACTTTTGGTATGAGACATCTGATAATAACATCTAGTGATACATTTTGAGGGCGGCATGGTGGAACAGTGGTTAACGCTGACGCCTCACAGCAAGAAGGCTCTGTCAGTTTGAACTTGCTGGCTGGCTGGGGCCCCACTATATGGTGTCCCTGTGTCTGTGTGTGTCCCACTATCCAAAGATGCAGGTTAATTGGTGACACTAATTTGCCACATAGGTGTGAGTATGAATGGATGTTTGTCTCTTTATGTCGGCCCGGTGATAGACTGGCGACCTGTCCAGGTTGTGTGAGCTGGGATTGTCTCCATCATTTGCTCCTTTGACATTCACAAGCAGGAATGCAACATGTTTTACAGTCAGCACTATTTATGTAATATATTAAAGAGCAAGCAGTTTTGTTTAAAATGCCACAGGTTGGTTCTGGGTTTGATTTTCTGGATTTGATTGGTTTTGTGAAAATCCTATACCTGAATAGAGAGCCTCTATTTAGGCATAGGACATCCTGCCTAGGTAGTTGGCAGGGACATATCCCTTTTGTCCGTTAGCCTCAGCTAACCACCACTCCTTGTTGCCTCCCAGGTCACAGAACTGGAGGATGCGGACATGCTGGGATTCCTGCAAGGTCAGCTCCTGGTCACAGCGTGCTTGAAATGCATAGACTGCATAAAACTGTGGAAACAGACATAAATCAAATGTAATTTGAATTTTTTGTGAAAGCAGTGAACCGACCAAAGGTACTTTTTAAGTGTTGGTGTGTAAATCTTACATTGAATTGACATGAAACTACGTTGAAGTGCACTCTCCTGTAAATCCAGCAGGTGGCATTATTTATTAGTTTTCCCTACTGAGAGAGTGTTACCACTAATCCTACTTTTCATTCCAATTTACTGACTCTGGTCAGCACCGTATATTTTAAGACCAATAACTGTGTCATGTCATGATGAAGATCAGAGTCATACTGGGAAGTCATAGCTTATAAAGACATGACCACAAGGAGGACAAAGCCCAGGGATGATGAAGCTTGAGTTACATCACTGTGGTCGCGTGATGTCATTTAACCCATTTAATTTTAATGCAAGCTAGACAGAGACACGATAAAGCTATCAAATGTGCTTCTGCAGTAACATATCTTCTGCTGATCTGGTCCATATACCTGCACACCTCGGTTTTACTGCCACTTTAATAACTCATATTTTATAGCTGTCCTTCTGTGAGGATACCCTCATGGCTCTCTGAAAACCCAGTTAAAATTACATGGTTTACTGAGCCTTGTGTCATTTTAATTGGTTTATGGGTTGTGTTTTTGATTCTTATTTTCTTCAGAAGGTGGATTTCAAATTGACAGGGTTTGCCTGTACACACGCTTGATTGAGGTACAGTCATTCTGCAGCTTTGAATTTTACAACATCTTTTTGACCTTAACTGTTCTCAAGGTGGAAATTAAACTGAACTGAACCAAGATTTTTTTTTTTTTTATCCTCCCCAGTGCTGAGCGATGTAATATCTTAAAGTGACATCCATATGGTGCAGGAACAGTCAACAAAACACATGCAGGCGACCAGACACACACACACACACAAACACACACACACACACACCTGCTGAGCCTCTGTGTCCACTGTGTCCTCCAGGTCTTCCGGGCTCTCCGGCTCCCCCTGTAGACCGGAGAGGGTCGAGCTGCTGTCGGTGGTGTTGAGGTTGAAGCTGCGCAGACTGCTGCTGCCACTGCCTGACACGAACAGGCTGATGTCGTCGAAGTCGTCGTCCACCATGGCAGGTGGCTGCTGCTGTTGCTGCTCTTTGGCCATCTGGCCTGCCCGCTGGGAGTCCCTCAGAGGGTTGTACTGCTTCAGGAATGTGGAATAGACGTAGCCTTGTGTCCCTAACAGTGACACACAGTGACATTCTGTCAGGATGCCTGACTTCTTCACTTTTAAAGGGCTGGTTCACCCAAATTACAAAGTAGTGGCAGTGGTAGCTAACCATGCAGATAGTTCTATTATTTCCAGATATCCATCTTTGAGATTTCTGCCTCCACCACAATAAAATGGGGATGAATACTAAACAATGTCCACAACAAGAAACAAGTATATTGCTGTCTTCAAATGTATTTTTTTTTCAGTTCTTAAAGCACCACAAACATATTTCCACTGACATCATGTTGGGGTGAAAAGCAAAATCTCAGAGATGCTTTTCAAAATCTCCATGGCTAAATATTACTAGTGAGAACATGGTCTTCTGCAATTTGAGTGAACTGACCCTTTACATGTCCAACACTGACATAACTGCTGACATTTTCCTTTGTTGCCGAGAGGATAAATGCGTGTTTAATATATGGCACTGCATTTCTCACATTTATGCTGTAAGCATAAGCTAGAGTATTTGCTTACACAATCTGAAATCCAGTTACAGTGAGCGACCTGAGGAGTGTGTAAATATGAGGCAAGCATATTCATAGTGTTGATATCAACAGAGGGATGAACAACAACTTCCTGGGAATGCTTGTAATCCCAAAGGAAAAGACAAGACTGTGAAGAATGTACTTTATACCAAGAAACATACACACACCTTTTTTTTTTTCTAGCGCTCATAAAAAAAGAACTTGTTATTGCAGAGTACAGAGGCACGCAAGCAGCATCTCTCCATCCTTGTTTCTGAATACCCAAAGGGAATAGCTTTGAACTCTAAGTAACACTGCTTACAACGCACAGCAGTTTGTTCCAAACAAGACGTCGGGATCTCAGGTGCTTCTTGCGAGACATAGAGGGGAGATAGAGACAAGCTATGGAGTTGGCCCTGTTTTGAGGCAACCATCTCCAGAGGCAGGAGAAGAGGTACCAGCAACCATGACATCACAGGGGCTCCTGGGACTGATTCTTGTGCGCTGACTTGTCAGAGTCAGAAAGTAAAGTTTAAAGTTTGGTGTGTCTACAGAGCCTCAGTCATCTAATAGATGCAGGTGTATTCACAGAGGAATGTGTTTTAAAGGAGACCTATACCGACCATGCCTGCAGATGATTTAGTGTGATAACTTAATTCACCTTGTATGTCTTATTAAGAATATGCGCCAAGAGCTACCTCTGCCTCAAGGGTCTTTGTCCTTGTGCATGCACACACACATAAACACACTTGCCTCCAGTGTGAACCAGCCAGCGGCTGCTGCTGCCTAATGGGTCTGTGTCCTCCAGCAGGGCCACCAGCTCTCCCTCCAGCAGGCTGAGGTCCTGCTCCTGGCAGCCATTACACTTCCTCTTCAGCTGGTACAGACGGCTCAGTGGGTATTCTGCCAGCAGCCAGGCACGCTGCTCCTCAGTTTGATGCTGCACCTCCAGCATCTGGAGGACAGCACGGCGCAAAGGGGTGTAAATATATGAAGTGAGTATATAGTGTGTGTGCACATGCTAGCATGTTGTTGGTTACAAGTGTTGAAGAGTATTCTAGGGAGGGCGAAAGGTAATAAAATCCTGGGGGTAGGAGTTTCAGGTAGATCTATTAACATGTAAAGGTACAAACACATGCATATATGTACAGATTTGTAGGCATATGTGCAAACCTACACACACGTGGATATCCAAATCTCGGGGGACTGATACCTGGTGGAGCTTTAGGTTGCCAAGTGCCCGAGATAATCACAGCCAAGAGCTGTTCTCCGTGTCTGCCTTTGATAAGACTTGTAGCTGCTCATTTATGACTTGGAAATAGATTCATTAATTTCTAAAAGAGTCAGGAATATGCGTTGGTTTTGTTTTAACCTGGGGTTAATGTGGAGTTCACGGATGCTTACTCAAATGATCAGGAATCTAAATGGTGCAGATTGCATGATAGAATGACACGTAATCTACTCTAGATTATATCCACTTTCTTACCGTTGTTTTCTTGTCTCGTCTCTCAAAGCTGACTTTGCGCTCCATCAGTTTCTGTGCATTATCTTTAACAAAAGCCAGATTATTGAGCTCATCCATGATGCTGTTTTGCACCTCAGCAATGTTTGACAATGGAACCTGGAAAAGCAAACATAATACAGTTAAGTTTCAGTATCAAATAGGCCAAAATGGGAAATGCGTCTAATAATGTGTGCTAGGATCCTCACTGGTAGCTGCTGCATGGATGGAGCACGGAGTAGTATTCTATCCATCAGCTCTCTGAGTAAGGCAACAAGATACACCACACAGTTGGTCAGGATAGTATAGGCGGCCATGTTGAACCTCTGCAACTCCTCCACTAGCAAGGCATTGATAGCCTCATAGTCTCTCCTGGCAGGACCAGGCGGGTCCTCTGACACCAGTGAGGGAGCGGAAGAAGAGGTGGTGGCTGAGGAGGATGAGGATGAAAAGGAGGAAGAGCGCTCCAGGCGACTGCAGTAATCCAGCAATTTGTCATAACGCTTCTGGATGAGCTTCTGCGGGGCTGTGAACATGCCCTGCAGGGAGGAGAGGGGAACGAGGACCAGGCGCTCCATACTGTCTTTCTGGAGGAAGAAGTCAATGAGATAGCAGAAGATGAATAGCGATTTACAGCAGTAGTCTGCCTCTTTTCATTATGTATTCTCTATTATATATTCTGTAGATATAAACAGGTACTTTTAGTGTATTTCTGTGGTATTAAAAGATTTTTTTGTAAGTATGCAATGTCTTGTTTTTAGTATGCAGCGGCGTCTCTATTTCACAACATTTTTCTCCAAGGGGAGACAGTAAAGTTTGCTTTAACATTAACCTTGAATACATAACAACAAGAGAGCTGCTACAGCTTAATTTGCATGCAGACAAACAAAAAGTACTGACGTTGTTCAGCTTACAATATGAGTTAGGAGCATGGAATGGGTAGTACTGCACCGAGAAAAAGATTTGTCCATTTGGTGAAAAGGCTCTACTTCTGATGAAACCATCTATCAGTTACAACTTGTCATGTTTTGATTGTAGCACACACAATGGAACCCTTTCATACAAAATAAGTCTGTTGCTTTTCCTCTATGTGCATTTGTGACTACAGTTATTTTGTAAAGGTCATTACAGACTTTGCTTGGGAGCAGTGCTGAACTGCCGCAGTGAAGAGCTGCTACACAAAGAGTCTTATTCAAAGGTGCAGTTATATCAGAATTGGCAACAGTGCAATCCACAGAGAGAACAGAGTGGGAAAGGGAAGGTGGCAGAGTGACTGTGGGATCTACTAGAAAGGTTAGAGGCACAGAGGAAAAGGATTAATAAAACGGACAGAAGACAGGCAGCTATGGGCAAAGTGACAGATGAGTCACAGTTGGTGGGTGAATGGAAGGTCATGTAGGAACAGGAGAGCGAAGTAAGGACAGGCCCAGATACAGAGGATTCAGGTGGGGGTGTGGGGTGGGGGGGGGGGGGGCGGGGGGGGGGGGGGGGCGGGGGGGGGGGGGGGGGGGGGGGGTGGTGGGGGCGGGGGGGGGGGGGGGGGGGGTAAGCTGGATAGTACGACATTTTTTTTGTGAAGTACAACAAAAGCCACACTTACAAAGTGCTTATAGGGGTCATTGCCATTATTGTGCAATGAGCCGTTTATCCCATTTTTGTTTGGATCCTTGACAATATTCTCCATGTCCTGCACACTCTGGACAGCCACAGACACCATCTCCTGCAGAAGATGCATTAAAAAAAAAATGAGGAAAGTTGACAGAATATTTACATTGAAACAGCATTAAACATGTTCATTTTTGCAATGGGAGATGATTTGCTAACATACACCTACCTGAGTGTGCTGCAGGTAACAGTGAACATTCTTGACCAGCTGCCTCACAGCCTTCTCCAGACTCCTGAACAGTTTCTCCTCTCGATCAAATACTTCATCTCTCACCTATAATAGAAAAATAGTGTCAATTATGTCTTTGTCTTTCCTTAAATGTCTGCACTTGCAAATGCCAAAAGGGGGGCTATATAAAAGCAGCAATTCTTAATTTCATTTTAACTGTCAAGTTCACAAGCTTGGTATCTTTTTATTCCATTTATGTCTTTTAATTGCGGTTATAGTGATTGTGGAGTGAACCATAAAAAAAAAATAAAAAAAAAACCTTTTAGTATTTTACCTGTGGTTCAACTCCAGTGAGGATCTTGAGGTAACCAGCAAACCTGTCGCCTTTCTTACGGATGGAATGTATGTTTATCTTGTTTAGTTTGCCCCTCAGTGTGCCTTCATCTTCCAACCTCTTATACTTCATAACTGAGAATAGATGAAAATATGGGGGCAAAGTTGAAAAGACGTGGTATTAGGTCAGGATAGCAGATGATTTAGCAGCACAACCTATATCATTTGATTAGTGATTATTAAACATCACAGGTGGCAAAATAATTCATTAAAAAAGACACCTCACCTATATCCTTGCGCCTCTTGAATTCATTGATGTTCACATTGATGATCTTGGCAGTAGTGAACGCCTCCTGCAGCGGTCGATAGTCAGGATGGTCTTCAGGCGTGGCCTGCCACAGCTCCCTAAGCAGCAACGGGTACTTCATGATCCTCTGGACAGGTTTGATGAGCAGTGAACCCATGTCCAGCAAGTTAGGTTTTCCTCTGTGTAAATAAGCATATTAGATAGTAAACAGTGATCTGCATGAACTGTTACGGCCTACAGAACAGAGATTCAGGAAAGAAAACAAAAACAAAACAGGAGCAAAACTGCTAGAGCAACACAACAATTATGATCTGTATTTGATTGAGTATTCAGTATGAATTTCAATATCTTTTAAATGCCACCATCAATTTTTCATTGTAGGGTACTCACTCTTGGTCGTAGATTTTCCTGTAAGTACAAAGACAAAGAAATACAGTCACCATCAAAGATAATAATCAGTAAAAATCATAACATTTAGAATATCGGGGAAGTTAAGTTTTAAATGATGCGATTGGAGGAAGTGACGTGACTTACTTCAGTGCTAATACACATGTGGTGAAATGTTGCTTTATCTCTTCCTCTTTCTCATAGGATTTGAGTGACATGTTGGCATCGTCATGGTGGTAACAGTAAATCTTATATACATCTTCTAAAGCTGCTTTCGCCTGGATGAATACGTCTCCTTCAAATACAGTGATATATGGCACATGAGATCTTTGATCTAACATTATCCAGAGCAACAAAAGTCAACAAGAAATGAAACCAGACAAGAGTCAAAACGGCGTTACCTATGACGACCGCTTCTAGATCTGGGTCAGCCATGGCCTCATGCAGTCTGTGAAGGAGTGCCGCAGACACCTCACACACTGTCTCCATGTTGGTGAACAGCCGATCGATATCCACAACCTAACACAAGATGAGGACACTACAGTGTAAAATATGGGTTTGCCCCACTGTAACCAAATGAAATTATAAAAAAGGACTCAAAATATACGAGTAGTAGCGACATTTTATGTCCGAATGTCAATTAAATCTAACTGTAAAAAATTAACTGTGGTTAATATTGATTATCCTTTTAGGTCATCTTTATGTGGATTTTTCAGCATTGATTCATGACTCCCTCTGTGTTAGTAAAATGTCCCTAAAGTTTAATTCAATTCTCATATTTTTCTGAAAAACGATGTACAGAAGTTAAGTGTATAGAGGTTACTGTCAGAAGTGAAGTGTATGTTAGAAATAGTGTATAAGATGTACCAAATAAACAAGTGACACTTTGAACATCATCTTACTCTAAGCTAGCTGAGAATTAATGTTGAGTTGTACAAATTTGAGTCTTATCTGAGCAAAGAAAACATCTACCTGCATGTTTCGTAAAGGCTGGACCACCTCTCTGATGCACAGCTCCAGGTCAGTGAGGTAGTCCTTTTCAGTCTGCACCAGCTCCTGGATCACCTTTGCCCTGCGGTTCATCTTCCTCAAGCGGACCTCCTCTGGGTCCACGGCTGGAGACGGGGGTGTGGACAGGTCATGTGGTGTCATTTTCTCTGAGAGGAAAAAATGGCATCATAGCATTATTATAAAATAAACGAAGATGAGCAGGTTTTTTTTTGTTGTTGTTGTTGTTGTTTGCGGTCTGTTTAGAGGTGTATTCTAATGTAGCAATCACAGCACCTGGCAGCCTTAATGAGTTCATCAGAAGTCAAACAAGGTCACGCAAAGCTAATGATGATGTGAGTACACCTACATTTTGGTGTAGATCTGCAAATTCAAGAAACTTTTATGTTTTCGCCAGCATTTCATGCCAATTGTGGCTCAGATGGCGATAAACACCCTGGCCCTGTGGGCTGTGTCTGCTTAGAAAAACATATATCTCTTCTAACACATCCGCTTGACGCCTGAGCAGCCATCAGTATTTCACGGTGATCTAATTATTTTGACTCGAACGCCAAAAGGCCTCACTTAACATGCCAGTCAGGCTCACTGCTCTTTTTTTTTTTTTTTTTTTTTTTTTTTTTTTTTATTGCTCCGCTTCCTAATCAGTCTGTGGCTGCTCTGTGCTTTGCATGGCAGGCAGGCAGGCAGGCAGGACTGTCTGTTCAGGGAAGAGGGATGCTTCCTTGCTGCCTAATCGACACCATGCACCACTTCCTCCTCTGGGGGGAGAGAGAGAGAGATGAACAGAGAGAGAGGGAGAGAGAGGGGGGTGGGGTGGAGGAAGGGTGACAGAAGGCTGCGAGGCCCGTGTCAGGTTACAGAGCAAATCGTGCCGCTGATGTAATGCTACGGCGTGCTCAGGCATTCCATCTGCTCAGACCGGGAGTGTGTGTGTGTGTGTGTGTGTGTGTGTGTTGTGGCAGGCAGTGATAAACACACACCTACATATGCAAGGATAAATGCATTCTGACACTGATGCACAGAAAAGACACGCACACAGTCATGAATGCACGTGTCAACAAAATGCATCCACTTCATCTTTAATCATTTTACACACATACGCACATGAATAAGATTTGACCATAAGAATTTCAACTTAGTCTTGTATGCCACTTATATTACCAATGTTATCAAGACCTTCCTTACAGTATGGTTATCTGCACCCAAGGCACTAATTGCACAGGAATACTACACGTATTAACTATGTGGATCATGATTAGACCATTTACACATGGTATTTGTATGAGTTCTCTTTGATTCTGAGTTTACAACAGATCTAATTTTTTAGGCAAGTAAGCAAGGAAGTTGCACTATCAATGAAAAACAAGTATTGCAGCTGTAGCTTCTGTTTCTTTATCATTTCATTTCCAAAGAGTCTTTTGTTTTGTACAGGAGTAGGAATGATAATGAAACTTTTGCTGAGGCTGAGTAGAAGAGGTTATGCACTTTCTTATGAATACAAACACCGCACAGATTGTGGTCATGCAATTGTGGTGGCTGACTGCACCAGAGGTCTGATCACAGTCTGGTTACTGTTACAGCATTACAACATTTTTCTGATACATGGACAAAATGACCACATGCAGCAGTGAATCATCACTTTTCTGATAGTTAAAAAAAAAAAAATCAATATTATAAGCCTTGCATTGTTGAGCAGTGCTCATTTTTCGTATCTTTCCTTTGTAACTTGATGGTTGCATTTTGTACAGTCAGTGTATGAAATAAAGTTGCTTAACTTTCCTTCCTTCTTTTGTTTCAATCTTTTCTTAATGACCAAAGACAGTTTAACAGGTGAAATCTATAATGTGTATGTGTGAATTCACATTGTTGGGCTGTTATACAATAAAAACATAATTAGTAAACTGTGTGAGATCGATTGTCATAAGACTGAACGTAGCTGTGCAGTCATTTTTAATCATTATAAATGAACTCGTGTCTGATATTACCTCTAGAAAATGACAGTCTCATCCCTTTGTATGAGTCCAATGAAGCTTTGGAGTGAATCCCTTTTTAAAAATATTTCTTAATTTAGTAAAAGTATCAGAGACACTGTTTTACTAGTGGAAATGTTATATAAAAAAAGTATCACATTCATGTTTCAACAGTATCATCAAGTGTCATATATCTACATGGGCTTTCAGCGTGAAAGGAATCACCCCAGACTCTCTGAAAACTTCCACCAGTGAGAAAAGTCTCCCCAATGAGAGATCAGGTGAGGTATCTTGATGGCTTGCTGGAAATGTATTCTATTTTTAATCTGATTTCAACTCTTTTCACACTTCATCACTTTTTTACTCAAACATTTTCTTGCCACAGTACAAATTGTTAGTAAGAGAAATGTCAAACAGATTCTTTTAAAAGCACCTTGAAATCTTCTATGAAATCTCATTCAAAACTGGCCTTGAAAAGATTCTTCCACACGGACACGTTCGCAGTGTGACAAAAAAATTGAATAAAATGTACTCTAGCCTACTACGACTCAGCAGCAGATCTCAGACTGTACTGACTTATCCTTTCGCCATGCGGCATTATGTTTGGTGAGGTATGGTTGCCGGCACAGGAGTTCCCATGAAAGTGGATACAGGGCTTTTCAGTGTTCAGCCCATTGAAAAGGATCCAGCAGACAGACTGAACAGAATACAAGGCATGGTGTATCATGTATCGCCAGCAAGAAGAATGACACGTTAAGACTTTGCCACACAGCAAAGTGCACAACTGGATTTTATCACTGAGAATACATTTTGGAAATTTGCTGAAAATGAACAAAGCCTGAAGATCTACTAAAAAAGATATTCAGTAATGGGAAAGTTGGACAATTATCATTAAGCTTGTAATCGTATATCATACTGACTGATACCATATATGACTATAAAAAATGATTGTAAAAAATGCCATGAAAGGTTTAATGCTAAAGACACACAAACACACACACACAGACACACACACCCACACAGACACAGACAGACAGACACACACACACAGACATACCCACACCCAGGCATGTCATGACTTCAAAGGACATCACATTGACCTACATTCATTTCCTGGAGACTTGCTCTAACCTTAACCATAACTACTACTTGTCTATTTCTAACCTTAACCTAAACTTAACCTTATTTTAACCTTAAGACACGTCTTCACCCTAATGATTTACATTATAAGGACTTGCTCTTTGTCACCATAAGGAAGACATGTCCCAATAATGTGACTATGTAAACAGATTCAGGCCCCCACAATATGAGTAATACCTGGACTGCACACACACACGCACGCACGCACGCACGCACGCACGCACGCACAAAGTAAAAGTCAGTCCTCAAACAGTATCAACCCACAACAAAGTAACCTGTTCCATGCACGTTTAGTCGATAAATACAAAGGAATATTTGTATATTATTTATTACTGTCCCTATATGTGAGTTTTGTGCTGGTAAACCATTGCCAGAACTATTATATATAGTTATATTACTGTAAATGATTAGACACACTGATATCACGTTGCCATGGGTCTGTGGCTCGACCAACCTGTCTGACAAGCACATGAGAGCTGACTGTGGAGCAGCAGCTCACATGTTTCCTCTTTCAGTGAAGTCATCGTTCTGTCAATATTTGCAATGGTAATACCACTGTAAATACGTAATACTGTTTGTCAGCTGTGAGGCTACTCACGTCGGCTTCAGATTAGGACTCCAATGAATGATTTTTTTAAATTAATGATTGATCTGCCAATCCTTTCCTTAAGTCATTATTTGGTCTATAAAATTTTGAAATAGTAATAGTCCCATCAAGATTTGCCAGAACAGCAAATCCTCACTTTTCAGCGGGAACCAAAGAATGGTTGACTAGTTTGCTTCATAATCGACATCAGTCAGTCTATGATCAAGAGATCAACATGATCAACCTGATTGTTTCAACTGTAGTTCAGATAATTTAGATTTACAACAGATCCAATATAATACACTTAGTGTGAAATATATTAGTATAACAGAAAAAATATTATTATAATAAGCTGCTGTTGATGAGAATACTAACAGCATATTTTTCAGCCAAAAAGGAGAAAAAATTATCAAAAGAAGAAAATGCTACAAGAAACAATATTTAAAAACTTTTTTGTTCAGACAAAATAAAAAGAAGTTTATTTTCTCAGGAGCTGCAGGAGCCGGATCAGTGAATAGCGAGAGGGAAAATAAAAACACACTCATGCCTGAAACTGTCTTTTACAGCCGTAGACTTTTGCTGCCGGCCACTTGGGCACCATCACTAGAAAAGTCACGGCTGAGTGCTTTGCTTATTATGGGCACTTTGACAGAAAGTGAAGGGAGGGACACTCATTTTCATTTGGCTTCTCCATCCAGATTTTCTAAATCAGTACAGAGGTTAGAAGTGATCAAATATGAGACATTTAGTTGAGCATTTAGCCCTTTTTAAGTGAAGTCATTATTCTGTCAATATTTGCAATGGTAATGCCACTGTAAATATCTGCTTGTCAGGTGTGACGCTGAAGTCAAAGAGGGTGGTTGATTGGTTTACTGAAAACAACCCAGTGTTTTTTTGACTACCTTGTCTGTCATGATGCAGGCCGGTTAAGAAAACAGAACGTGCAAAGAAGTAGAGAGTGTCTGTATTTCAGGTAAACAGGGCAGCTGCTGATAAGGCAAGTGTGTGTGAAAGCTACCGTATCTTATCAGTGCAACGCCAAGTGAGAAGTAGGCTGCTAGTACTTTCCTATTTTGAACAAGGTGACACAAGTCATTTTGGCATTTAATGTGTATTGTTCACAGGAAAGGAAACCCAGGAACAAGTGATACAGGAAAGCCTACATACTTTAGCTAATCTTTTATACTAACCCCCCGCTGACACTATCATGTCAGCCATTTTGCCTGAAGTGCAGCATTCCCAGTCAATGACAGCACTGTAAGGACAGGTGAAGCCAGTTTCTCTGCAACGTGGAAATGTGTGAAATGACTGTGTCAGCTGTTATGATGAGGCAACATAAAGCTGCATCTATGATATTAACCCATTTTCCTTTTCCCAACTAGTTCTTAATTTACAGGCCAATCGCTACAATTCTTTAGTTGAATTTTATAATCAATGTAAACAGAACTGTAAGACCAAGTGCCTGAAATATCGTGAACCTCTCTGACTAAACTTGAAGAAAAATATACGTGTAAGAATATAAATATATAATGTCCTTCCTCACACATCTCTGGTGTTGAGGTCTTGTTTACAAGCTGGTCTGGAACACCTCTAAAGCCACTCCTCTGTGCCTGAGTTTGGAGAACAGTTTGCATATGTGGCTTCATCCCTCTGGGAGTATCTCCTGCTCAACACATAGTAACACAACAGGTGCCCAGTATCCAGAGCTGTAGAGCAGTGTATACTATATGAGTGTGTGTGTGTTGAATTTTTGCCCTCAAGCCATAGATGCTGTTCTTACAGTCCATCAGTGTCCATATAGTGGACATATTTGTCTAAAAGTTCACCTAGCTAGTGTGTCATGCAACAAGTTTGCAGTGTAAAGAGTTGAGAGATGTTTCAAACTGAGTGTTGGCTCACGTGTGTGTAGACTGTTGCTATAGTTTTGACCCCTGGGGAGGTCATTAGCTGATGTACCTTTTAGTTTGGCGCTGTACTCCGTCTTGTCAGACTGACTCCTCCTCACCAGGGTCCCCAGGTTGATGTCACCTTTGGCCATGTCATCAGCCACAATAGTATCCGTCTTTCTCCTCTCCAGGTAACGCAAGAACACAGGCCGGTTCCTCCTCTTTATTACTTTCTCCTTCTCTTTTTCCTTCTCTTTCTCACTCCCGCTGGCCTCCTTGGGATCCATGGTGAGGCCGTCAGCCACCTTGTGCTTTCAGACCAGAGACGGAGAAAAGAGGGGGAAAAGAGAGAGGGGCAGGAAAAGGGAGAGAAACAGAGAAAGAAAGAGCCTGGGAAGTGCAACAGGTGTACTGTTCACTATGCACTGACTGCCTGCTCTGCACAGGTAATGTAGCTCCTCCCTGTGTCTACCTGTCATGAGAGCAATGTGGCCACACCTCTCTGCTGCTGTGCTATGCTTCTCCCTTTAGATCATCATTTCCCCTCGGGGCAGAGAAAGTGCATCTCATCACTTTCCCTCAAAGCTTTGTGGACAGAGTGATGGCCACCAGCTACTCTTGATTTTGTTCTTTTTAAAACAGGAATCCTCAAAGTAAAATGAATGTGAACCCTCTCAGAGACACTTACAGTGCTGACAGGGAAGTATTTATGTAAATGCCCTGGGTGCTGTAAATCACACTTGGCAATACAGTGTTCTATTCAAGCAGTATTTAATAAATGAATTTCTAAATCAAATGATTTATAATGTAGTGAACTGGATTCAGTTAGTCTGTGAACCATGTGAAATGAATGAATAAAAATCTAAAACATACACTTTCTATATGCACATGCATTGTACTGATATTCTGAAAGTTTCATGTCACAATTCTATTTCAGGACATTTAAACACCTATATGTGTTGAGAAATGGAATAAGCCATGCCTAAGTCTTTGTTTCCATTTATGAGGAAATAACCCATAAACTGACACTCATATGATGTCACATCTAGTTAGACGGGAAATTCATCGACACGCACGGTGCCACAATGATTTCTGGTCGTAGCAACCAGATACTGTGAGTTCTCACCAGAACAATGAATGGATGCATTTCCTCCCCATTGAAGCACGGGTAATGAGGGCTCCCATTGTGGTTTCAGATCACTGTGCGGTGTGCTCATAGGACACCTGTTTAACTTCTATCAGACTAGATACACACATACGGGTCCCAACTATATGTCAGCTGGTCATCAACACATCACTCTAACTTTATCAGTATCATCATCACCATCATCATCTATGTCTATAATTAAGAAAAACCTAAGAACTTAACTGTTCCTGTCAAACAGGAACAGTTTAACTGCACTACAACATAGCAGATGTCAGTGTGAGCAGTATTGGGTAACCAAGTAGACTTGGTAAAAACAAATACCGAACAATCACATACTCAACAAACATGCAAGTCAGTAAACAGCGTTATCTCCTGTGAGCCGTCAGCGTGGCAGTATTAATTGTTTTGCCTTGAGGGAGCTTATATGACATCATGTCACTCAGGGTGTGGCTACCTGCTCAAAGACAGAAATGTACTCTTTTGAATGAATTCACACCAAAGATAAAACTTCACATGATTCAGATTTATAACAGATTCCATATAATCCACTTAGTGTGAAATATGATAGTAAAACAGAAAAAATATCATAATAATCTGCTGTTTGAAAAATGATCATGGCCACCGACAGCATATGTTTACGGAAGCTAGCAACAGGAGATGGGTCAATGAATAGGGGGAGGGAAAATAAAAACTCACCTATCCTTTAGAGCTGTAAACTTTTACTGCTGGTCACTTGAGCATGAAATATTTTCTTGTCATCTACTAGCTTCAGCAAGATTGGTCAAAACTGTCCTGGTAGCTGACTCACACAGAATGAATAGGATTTTGTGCACGGCAAAATCAAAGCCCTTTGGCAATGGTAGCCTATCAAAGGCAAGCATGCAGTTTAAGATTTTAATAAACCCACTTTTAATAGCTGCCAATATATGTGTATGTGTCATTTGTTTGAACAGTGAACAACCTATACGACAGTAAAGGAGACACATCAAAGCGGCTGGGGTGTGCGATTGTTTATGGCACAATAGATACATATGAACTTTGATCCTGTGATGTATTGTGGAGATTATTATTATTATCATCAAAACCATCACCTTCAGGCTGTAAAAACTTAAGCAAGGGGACATTAAAGCAAAAGTGACAGAGACTTTTATGGAAGGTCTCAAAATGGACGACAAACCTGCTCAGTTCTCCATTCACTATGGAAAACTTTATTGTATAAGCCTGATGTGTTTTAGCTCATTTTGACAAAAACAATCACATGAAAGTCTTGCATCTACATTTCTTCCTCTTTGTTTCATTAGCAGTTATAATAATTTTCAGTACTACAGAGAATGACACATTGAAACACTGAGGAGAGAATGAAAGGAAAAGAAGGGAAAAGAAGGGAAAGGAAAGGAAAGGAGAGGAAAGAAAAAGTTAGTCACTCAGTTATACTCTGACTCTACTAGAGAGGCTAGCTAGGTGGCAGTAAAATGAAGCTACTCTGCATGGACCTCAAGCATGCCATGGAGGAATCATCAAGTTAACATAGGAAAAAACAAACCGACTTCCAGTTACAACGATTTTATCATCAAAATAAAAGTATAATATTAATAGCTGGCAAGCGGCTAAGTAGCCTGTTGAGGTGTAGTTAGTGACACTTACCACCATTCAGCATATGTTTTCATGACAATGCTTAACTTTCCTCCAGGCCTATAGCACCATGCATCAGGCCAAAGAAAGACCCTCTATCATAAAAAAAAAAAGACAGAACAAAATTTAATGAACAGATTGCAGCATAATCCATGTTAAATATCCCTTTCGTTTATCCTAAAGGGCGCAGACTGTTGTTTTCTATAAATCATTTAAAAAACATTCAAGACCGCGTGACAGTATGTGGCTAAAACAGGTTTAATTCTAATGACTGAATCTGAAAATATAACTGAGGTAAAAAACATTTTTAAAGGCAATCTAACTATAAGATTTGAATGGAAATTCAAATGGAAAATCTAACGGTACTGCTCAGCTCTAAGACAAAAAAGAATATTTAAGGCTTTAAGACTTTTATCCCCTCGGAAACATGAACATCAAAAAACATAACATGCATAGTGATATTCCAGTATCTTGTGTACAAAACTGACATTTTTGTTTGAGGGTGTTAAGTAAGATAGCTCAAAATGGTGATGGTTAAATAACATTATTGTCACTGTTCATGCTTTTATTTTGAAAAATCGCTGACCTGAAGTGCCAGCTTAACTCTGGCAGACTTAACTGTTGGTTCTGGATGTGGCGAACGGGAAGTAGGAACCGAGGAAAGGAAGAACTGTGTTTATAATGAGACCGCTGCTGCTGCGCTCGTCGCTCGGCTGCCTGGTGACAGTTTTCGGCTCCTTTTCTGCTTCTCGAAACAAACTCGTCACACAAGCAGCAGCCGCTCCTCATCTGTATTATTTGAGAAAAACGATGCACTATCAAACGGAGGAGAGAGGACGCCCCAATTCTACTGACTACCGGATTTATTTTAGTAAGTTAATCATCGCGAGTGAGTGAGAAGCCATGTGTTTCTCCTGCATTTCGTGGTATAACGATGTAGCACCAAGTTCCGGTGTCTGATAGGTAACCACACCACAGGTAGACCTCCACGTCAAGGTAAACGCTTGACCTTTAAGTTGCAAAGTGCAGGGTTTAGCTTGGCATATGGCACATTTACCACTTAGCTTTAGAGTCAACGCCCTGCTACTGTCAGTCCCCGGTTTCCAGTATGTTAAAGTCGTTCATAAGCAAAAAGGAAGGGAAAATGTTTTTTCTTTTCACGCGGTCTTGCTTCCTGTTTGGCGGTCACGTGGACATATAGGACACGCGCGCACCCTCAAACCAGCAAAACGGGTTTCCCACCAGCAAAAATAAAATCCAGTCAGGCATGTCAGATGAAGTTAGACTTATTACATTGCAGAGGTGATCACTCATGCATCATAAAATGTGGAAAAAAATAATTGAATCAAACTTCTAGACACATTACTGGACTGAATGGATCAAATGGAAAGGGTGATTTTGCTGGCTTTGTGAATCTCAAAAAATGTATTCACCATTTTACAACTACCTCGTTTCCAATGATTTTGTGCAAGGAAAAATGCTTTTTGGCCCAGTGTGCATGACGTATGTGGAAGCTGTTGTAACCATGTGGAACGACTGCACCAAAATTGCTTCACAGCTCAGCTCCATTCCTGGAGGCCAACTTATACCATGCAGAGAGACTTCTAATAAAAGATGCAGTTGCATTATAAGACCCAAGCTAAGATACTTCCACTTCAACAGTGGGTTTATTTGTGTTTGAATGAGCACTCAACACTGTGACTGATGGTACACAACTACCTGCTATACAGCCAGAAATGAAATGTTTGACAATAACATCTTAACTCACTGGCTTATTCCAGAGCTTTCAGCTGCATCTTCATGATCTTCCTAAGTGGATGGAATTTGCTCTGTAGCCATGAAGAAATTTAATATTCTTATCAGTCTGAGCTATCTCACTGACAATTGTACAAACTCCACCTGCTGAGGAAGACCATGAGATGTGACTGAAAGCTCAAAAGGAGTTTGAAAGAAGACCTTGAGTTAACTTTTTCTTTTTTTTTCTTTTTTTTAATCCCATTATTTTTTCCAGTGTCAAGAATGAACTTTCACTCTCAACTTTAATGTTGGAGTATGACAAAAATAACTATACTATAAATAGATATGTCTTAAGTCAAAGAAGTAAATGATGTATTTGGCTTAATATGCACTGAATCCAAAACAATAATTAAATATTTGTCTCTGTGAAATGTTGGGTCTGTTTATTGTTAATATTTGCAGCCAAATCCGCACACATTTGGTTATTATGCCATTAGCTATGTCCACTTTTGCATAACTCAACCTTGTTGTCACAAATCTAGGAAATAAAGACAGACAAGCCTGGGCACTACAAACTAGCTATACACGGTATAATTATTGTATTAATAAACACTGTCCTGGGATTTCATTGAGCCATGTGTTTATGTGTATACAGATTTTGTTTGGTATTTTTACTTGTTTTTTTTTTTCTTTTTCTTAGAAACCTCTGAAGGGAAATACATTTCACCGTTCCATGACATTCCACTTATAGCAGAGACAGAAGAGGTAAGTCTTCTGATAGTGGAGGTTTTAGTTTCTGTTCGATAAATGCAGCAGAAAATTCAAGACTCAATAAATAAACTACATAAACATTATAGTCAAATTAGCAGGTTTTTTTTTTCTTTCAACAGGACAATGGGGTGCCAGCTAAGAAACCCAAGAATAATGAAAACGAGGTATCGTCCAATTCATGTTTCATGTCAGTTTTACTTCCACCCCAGCAGAAAAAGTATAAAGCTTCTTTACTTTCAGGTACTCTTTAATATGGTTGTGGAGGTACCTCGATGGTCAAATGCTAAAATGGAGGTAAGTGTAGATCCAGCATATCCATATCTATATACAGGCTAAAATACACTGTCTCACTTCTTCTTTTTTTTTTTAAATAATCTGTTTATTACACTTATGCTACTTCAGTAAAGGCTGTCTCACATTGAAACGTTAAAGCATTAATGTCACAGGTGTACAATGATGTTCCCAAGAGTGTTTGTTTATAGTTTATTTATATAGCACCATTCATACACAGAAGCAACTCAAAGTGCTTTACAAATGAGCAAATAGAAGAACATAGAAGCAAAAAATGTAAATTAGAGATTAAACAAAAGAAGCCCAAAGCTAGCTAGTTATCAGAGCAGTAGCCAGACTTTTGAGTGTTGAAATTAAATGTTGTATGCACTGACTCATAAATACTTAGACCTACATACACATCTGGAATTGCTTCACTTTCCAGATTGCAACAAAGGAGTCGCTGAATCCGATTAAACAAGATGTAAAGAAAGGCAAGCTGCGATATGTTGCCAACATATTTCCCCATAAAGGTTACATTTGGAACTACGGCGCACTCCCACAGGTGAGGAAAGTGGGTCTGGGTTATATTAGAACTTAGGAGTCTCAGCGCTTATGTCTATGTCCATCATCACCACGCTGTGCTGATTTTGATCCTTGTCAGTGACTGACAAATAATATGGCAATTTAAACACTTCATGATGAATTTAATTTAGTGCTCGACAAATTTCATAATTCATGTTCATAAGTTAGCGGTGAGTCATTAATGTTATGAGTGTATTAGATAGCATTCTTTTTATTCACTCATTCATTCGTCAGTTTCAATGTTTGTTAGAGAAATTGATTTCTTTTTGAACTGTTCCCTGGAAAAGACATGGGAGGACCCTAACCACACAGACGCAGAAACTAAGTGTTGCGGTGATAATGATCCGATTGACGTTTGTGACATTGGCACCCAGGTAAGACTGCTTTATATCATTTTAAGATGTTTATTTTTGCGTACGTCATACACACTTTTCACAGATAACTTGTGGTATTTTGTGGTTAATTGATTGACTATTTATTTATACGTTGTTGGCCTGGCCAGGTGTGCTTCCCAGGTCAGGTGATCCAAGTGAAAGTGCTTGGCATCTTGGCTATGATTGATGAGGGAGAAATGGACTGGAAGGTCATCGCCATCAATGCTAAGGACCCGGATGCCAAAAACCTAAATAGTGGGTGTGATCATATCAACAGTCCTCAGCTGCCTTACTCTGATCGTTTCTCTGCTCCAAAGAAATTTAGTATTATCATAAATTAAGGAAATTTGAATTTTTATCTGGAATTTGCAAAACAACACAATCAAGTACAGAGGTAAAGGCTTATAATAAGATACAACTGTTAAGGGAAGTAATGCAGAGCCTTTCAGGATCAGCTGCCCAACTGGCCTCCACAACTTGCACTTGACATCATATGAAGACTAAGGTACTAATGCACCTGCCCTGCTCACTTCAGATCGAAATGATTGAATTTGGAAAGAAATATTTGTATATCCAACACAGAAGTCCTTTGAGATGTTTGGCAGCTCAGACAGTAAGTTCAGACCATGTGTGTTATTAAAACACACACCTAGTACGTAGCCTGTGGAATTTTTATTGTCAACACGGTTTTGTTTACATTCAACCTTTCTTTCCAAAACTTAGTGTCTATCCTTAAGGCCTAACAGTCATATTGAACGCATTTTTTTTCGCCTCATACTTAATTTGCAAAGCCTGTTTCTGCCTGTATTGTTTACATCAGCAGTGGAGCAGTGCTATCTTTTGTGACCCCTTATAAATGTATTAAGATAAGATTATCCTTTATTAATCCCACACCAGGGAAATACTTAATACCAAGTGTAACTACAGCACAGATTCATATCTAATTCACACCAAACAAGGTGCAAATTCTGGTCTCTCTGTCCTTATTCTGTTGAACGTGTTTGTGTTTCCTCAGACATAGAGGATGTCCGCAAGAGTCGACCCGGTCATTTAGAGGCCACCGTCAACTGGTTTAGGAAATATAAGGTGCCGGATGGGAAGCCTGAGAACCAATTTGGATTCAATGGACAATTCAAAGACAAGGTACTGAGACCTTTGTAATACAAGATACACAGATAAGCCATGACAGCTGGTATAGGGGTTGCAGTCCACTGTGGTTTTAGTGGTTAAAACTGAATTGGCTGAAATGGATTGCTCCCTAAGAAATCCAAATGTTGTCTTCTTCTCTGATGTCCTTTGTCCTTTCTTATAGGACTTTGCAGTTGCGATCATTAAATCCACCCATGAGCACTGGAGGGCACTAGTGCAGAAGCAGACAAATAGTGGAGGGATTGAATGGTACGTAAAGCATCCGCAGTGTGTGTGGTGTACAGATAGAATTGTGTGTGTGTCGTGAACAGTACTCACTTTTCTTTTTTTCTTTAATTTTGGACAATTCCTCTTTGTTCAGCAAAAATATCTCTTGCTGTGACAGCCCTTTGAAGTGCAGCGCAGATGAGGCCAGAGATGTGGTCCAGTTGGTGAGAACTTCCATATGCTGTCGATGATAGCAAACACAATAATAGCATATAAAACTGTACAAGGGTTAGGGCTGGTCATTTTCATGTATGTTTTGTGACTCTGCAGGCCCCAGCATTCGGTAGCCCAAATCCTGTGTCTCCAGAGGGTAAGTAAAAAAATTTAAAAAATTTAAAAAAAAAATGACTGACTCACGCTAAATTTGTTTTATTTGAGGTGTTTTATGGCTCAATGCTTATATTTTCATGTCATTCTTTTCTTGTACAGTGGACAAGTGGCATTTTGTCTGAAACCTCAAAGACAATATGGAAATGGGGAAGAAATTTAAACATCTTATGAAGGAAGGATTTATTTTTGTTAAGGTCTCAATCTCAGCTGTATAAAGTGCCATCTACATTTACCATCCAGTAATTTGTTAAAAAAGGAAAGAAAGGATTATACCCAGTACATTGACAGAATGAGCCAATGAAGATCTCTACTTTTCTAATGCTGAGAAGAGAACCAGAAGCAAGATGTGTTTTCAGGTGTCGTGTTGGACACTATATTGATTTATTGCTGGTCACACCAACTATACTTTAGAGGTTAAACACAAAATTATTGGTCTCCTTTCTATGAAATTCTATTAAATTGTAAATTATTTTATATCTGTATTGCAGTATTTTTGTCCAGGTCCAGTCTTTCTTTGTACAGGACTGAAATTCATGCTGATATGCTCTTATTTGCCTTTAAGACTCTAATCTGTTTGTACTTGAAACCACAAACACAATGTCATTTGTTTGTAACAACTGAACAGTTTCTTCTTGTTTGGATACATAATAAAATTAAGGTGTGAACATGACAAGATCTCTTTCCAGTTTTATCCATAATTACACATTTAAAAGCTTCAACACATGGACACAACATTTGCACAGAATTTAGATATTAGTATTAACTTGGAGTAACAAATCAGATTGCTTTAAATAAATATAAATTTTATTAGAAAAACACCCACATCTCAGCAATATCAGGAATGATATAATAAACAGCTTTCAAATAAACTGCATTCAGTACATTACAATACTTACAGTATTAATACCCATCCTTAATTCCATTTTTTTGTAGCATACCAAACTTCAGGAGAACTAGGAAAGCCTTAAAAAATAAAATGACAGGCGAAAAGTTGCACTTTTTTTTTTTATATCTTTAGTGTCCAACTGCAAAAAAACCAAGTGTGTATCAACTGCTAGCTTAACCTTTGAGCTGAGCACATGTAGTGCACTAGTCAAGCCCAGAAAGTCATTCAAGTAATGTTGACTCACTCAGAAACACTCTGAAGCATCTTCAAGTATGGCTATGCTTGTAACCCGCTATATCTTAGACACCTCGGCTTTCTCAACCACAACCTGCTACTGTAGCTGGGTCCTGTACAATGAAATTTAACTTTTTTTAAATGTAGATTTATTTTACAAAACTGGAACAGTTAAAAAAAACTAGACCTTCTAAAGTCTGAGCTAACAGGATACTATGACTGTAAACATTGCTGTGACAGTGAGCGTAGTATTTACAAAGACTTCCTGGATATTCTAACCATGATCATTCTCTTAACCTGAAACAGTCAATGGATATGGAAGGAAGATATGATGAGGATTGCTGATAGAGGAGCTGTGGGTCAGTTTGACAGAAGAAGAAGAACATACATCAACATCAAAGAATGAGTTGTATTCCTGCAATACAAATTCTTGGTATGTACAATGTGACATAATTTATTTTTTTTTTTAAAACACATTTACAATCTGTTTAAATAAAATGTTTTGCAATTCTTTATTACATATTTTTTTTTCCTGAAAAAGAAACGAAGTGCTTTCAGAAAATGAATATGTTTTAAGAGTGGGGTGAGTTGTTACTATAACATGACAGTCATTCCATTATATATCGCATTAATTAAATCAGATAGACAGGGAAGAAAAATCACTATACAATTGCTTAGTGGTTATAAATAAATTTAACTATACACAGGCACAAAGATGTGCAACTACGTTAATCATTGCCCTGGTCTTGTCTCATAGCAAAAGCAAATGCATTACTTTATACTTAGTCAATGTCATACTTTCCCTTTAATCAACTCAGTGCATATATGTTCAAATTACTTTTAAAAGATTACCACCATCCTATTAGCTAAAATATAAGTAAAGAATTGCAGGAAAGTTTATGTTTCCTCACAAAATAACTTTTGTCTGTGTGGAGTAGACAAGAATCATATTGGGATTCAGGATGCAATGGCAAGTCCCTGAATGAGAATTATGACAAGATGAGTACAGGCGATGAAGATGTACACAAAATTAGTTGAAAATGTCCCTGATTTTACAGTAACATCAAAATTCAAGTTCAGGTAATACTTCCTACTAGATAAGAAAGTAAGAAATGAACTTTTATGCCTTTTGGTGGCCTGAAGTTTAACTGTTATTAACATTTTGAAAGTAATATACAAAGGAAGAAAGAAAAATATGTTATAATCCTATTGCCAAACTAGTTTTGAGGTATATGACAGGTTTGTACTGTACATTATTTAAAAGCCTTCTCACTGCCCAAAGAGTCTCACATTTGTATGTTTCTAGTAGGTTGAATAGCACCTTATGAAATAAAATCAGTTGAAACTCAAAGAAATACAATGAAATAGGCTGTTAGCATTCTTTACAACACAAAATCTATAACAGTAATTCCAAAAAGGGAAATTAATTTACTGTACAAATCTCACCTTTTTATCTTACAATAATTAAAGACCCCACAGCAAGCCAGCTGCCCTCTGAAACTGACACTGAGCTTACCCTGTTTCATGTTCCTCAGTGTATAAAAAGCACATTTACTAAGCACAACAGACATAAAACTACATGTAATATTCACAATCCAGGTTTGTTCAATGAACCTATTGTAAGGAACATTAAAAACAGTTGTTGACAACATAGAAAACCTGGAAAAAAGTAAAATCACACAAACATGGAAATTCTTTTCCTCAAAATGTTAAAAATGCACCATTAGAATGGCTCAATTTACAGTATAAATGACAGGAAAGTGAAAGAAGCACCAACACAATGATAGTTAAAAAAAATCTTTTTGCATGAACTCAGCTGTTTCATGGATTGCTCATATAACCCTCCGTTATAAATTCATCAATTTAAGTTCACTGATGCTATGAAATTCGTTGCTGTCAATGCAGCAATACAGTATAACCAGATTTTATGATTTAAAGGTATTACCAAAACATTTAAGTCTTATCAAAAAGTGCTCTAAGAAACACTGACTTGCCAAAAACCATTATGATGGCGATGATTTGACAGTGACAGATATTATTTTCAGTGTCCATTTGACATGAGTCATTGAGTGTCACTGGTAGAGTGTGTTATGGTTATAGTGTGAAGGCCTTGCATTAAAAAAATGGTAATAAGCACACATTTTAGCACCGTGAATGTTGTCATTTTCAAAGTCAGTGTTTTATGCCAAGATTACATCTCCAACAATTTTTGTAAGAAAAATAAAGCCACCAAAAATGAAACTTTGTTTCCAGTAAAAATAGCTCCTTATGTATCAGACTAAAAGCACCAGAGATTTTGACAGTGTGTATCTTGCAAAAGTTGCCAAACAAAAATAAATACATCCTTGGTAGGGTCAACTAGTAAAGCTTGATTGTTGAAGAGGTGAAACACCTGATGTGAAAGGTGATTTATATGTCATCTTATCACAGGCTCCTTTTTCTATGCAATGCTGTTTTTAATCTTATTGATAGGAAGGAGTGTTTAGATGAGGCCAGTGGCAATTGTGGTCTTTGTCATAAATAAAGCACCTTCAATTTTCTGCATCATGAGTGTTTTCTACACAAACTGACTGTAAGGCCCTGTGACCTTGGTGAAGGCGTATGGAGATGTACTGACATAGGTGTTCGTTGTGCAGGACAAGGACCCCTCCATTAGTGCCTGGATAAAACGCTTGAAAGGAGGCTCTCCGATGGTTTCTGATGACTCTGGATGCTCCCGCTTCACCCCCTTCTTGCTGCCTTTGCTAGGTGTCCCTTCACCACCATTCCTCTCTGCGTCTTCCTCCTTCTCTCGTGCCTTCTCTGCCATCTTGGCTTCCCATAGCGCCAAGCCATGCTTGGCCTCATTCATATTTTTGTGCTGGTAAAAGACCAAGGAGATACGCGTTGGGTGGTTGCGGTCTGGATTTTTAAGGGGCGTTGTGGCATGAAGCTCCCGTTTCGCACACTCAATGAGGACTGAACCGTGGCTAGGTGCCACTGCCACACCACCAATATCAGGGTCCAAGAAGTTGTGCTCATTGTCTGACCACATCTCGGGTTTTTGTGGTGTTGTGGGTGTCTGTGGTGTTCCAGGCTCTTGCTTTATACCAGAGACCATGAGGCCTCCATTAGGCAGACCTAACCCTGACTGTGTCTCAGGGTTTAAACACCCACCACTTAACTGAGAAGAAAGCATCTGTGGGCCAGGCATGCCCATTTCTGTCTTGATTTGCATATGGAAAGGATCTTTGCCTGGGGGTAGGATTTGAGGGCTCCGAGAGAGGTATGGATTTGGGTATCCTCCAAACTGATTGCCTTTGCTCACAGCAGCTGTATAGTCCAGACCTCCATGGGCTGAGGATGCTCTTGAGAGGGGGTCCATGAACTGGGGTTCTGAGGCTCCATTAGGACCATAAGGGGCGTATGGTCTCATGGGGTGAACTGGCCTCATGCTGCAGGCATTGTAACCATTGACCTGTAAACCTGGCTCACTATACCTTGGCGGATAATTGACCTCATAACGCTGATGTACACCATACTGCTGCTCTGAGTAAAGCGCTGGCCGCTGTTGACGATACATGTCAAGGTGCTTTGGGTTCGAAGCATAGTATGGATGGTAATTGTCAAGGGGCATTCCTCCATTACATTGATAACCTGGGTATGGACGATTTGATCCATTAATGTAAGTGTTTGGTACATGGAGTGGGGAGGGATAATGGCTGGTTGGTGTTTGTGGCTGAGGAGGATACATGCTGCCTGGCTTGGAAGTGCTTGGAAAAGACCCAGGGTGGTTAGGGAATCTGGGGTAGCCGGCTGCATTTGTTGAGCCAGGATAAGGGGGAAGAATGCTCTGGTGCTGTTGTTGCTGTAGTTGCTGAGGATGGGCCCCGAGGGGGTGTGTTGGCTGACCTGGCTGTAGGGTTGCTCCCAGAGCACCTGGAATAGGTCCTAGAAAACAAAATGCCCCAAAAGATAAAGGCCTAAGCAGTAGCAAAAATAATTACACAAACTTCCAATTCCTCAAGTGTCACTTTTTTTAAGTCTCTCTTGGGGTTTTCATTGTTTATTTGATATATTAGCAATATGTCCCTAAAAAGAGATACTTTTTTTTTTTAAATACAATGTATAAAATGCGTCAGAATAAATGTTTCCTTACCTGCCATAAGAGTGCTGTGAGTGGTGTTCTCGTAAGTGCCAGTTTTTGACTTGGCAAGTAGAGCCTTATCATTAGAGCTGTCCAGCATGGCATTCTTATTGGCTGCTGCCTTCTTAGCATCCAGCTTCTTTTGCCGGCAAGACTTGGCGGGCTCTGCAAGCATGCGCACCTGGCGGCGAAAGGCACTGAGGACTTGGATGGCGCCTGACTTGATTTTCTCTTGCTGACCCTCCTCACTGCCAAATTCATCAGTGTTGGAAGTCTTGTAAAGAGGCAGGACATGGAGCTGCTCATCCTCTGGTATCTTTCCAATCTCTCGATTATCCTCCCTTGTTAATGTACACACCTGGAAAAACAGAGTAAGTTAAATACTTTTTGTCTGGAAAGTCATGGACATAAAACAAAATGTCCCAGTCTTAGTATCTATTCCATCCTCAAACAAATACAAGATAATTAAAAAGACATGTTTCCCAGGTTCTGCTTACCACAGTGCTGCCGCCCTGCATGTTGTGAAGGTCCCTGTGAGCATGGGCACAGAAGTCCATGCAAGCAGTGACCCCAGAGAAAGGACGGCCCTCCTTGTGCCCCAGACGGCAATCTGGTGCCCTGTGTTCATGTTCCACCTGTGTTCAGGAATGGCAGGAGGTATATTGAAATCAGATATTATGGATTTCTGAAGGTCACTAAACAATATGATAAATCTGATTTATCATATAGTTACTTTCAGAAATACTCTTGTAAGGAACGACATATACTCACCTGGTTTCCATAAGCCTCAGGCGCCAAAGTTTTATACAAGGGAGCCAATAAGGTTGCCAAACTTTGAAAGTTGTGCTCCAGTCTCTCTTCCTGAAAGACAAAAATTGGCAGTAGTAAGTTACTTTAATTAACATGTTATATTAACATGCACACTTAGAATAATATTATAAATCTACATGAAATACCTCTTTCACATCATCTCCTAGTAGCTTGAATTTTCTTGGGATTTTGCTCCTGGCAAACTTGCAGCCATTGTAGTACATGCTCCAAGAACAGCCAAAGGAGAAAGATGCTCCAGAGGCATCAGGATCTAACCCCTGGCATGCACAGGTCCTCCTGAAGGAGGAACACAAAAAATAAAAATGTTATTTTTGCCCAATAATTCAGTGCTCAAACATTATTGCCGTGGTAGCCAAAACTGATGACTGAGGATCAAATTAGGAATTGGTACCCTGTGACTTGCTGCAAAGAAACAAGGAATGGAACAAAACAAAAGCAATACCTACATTTTCCTTTAATGTATAAAAAATAAGAACCAAGAACCAAATATGTATGTGTGTGTATATGCATATCTTGCATGATACTAGTACACATGAAAGGCTTTAAACAGGTATATTTGGAAAAGAAGCAAACATTGATTTAAGATCTGTTGTATGATGAGGACAATTATTGTGATCATCTTAATTTCTGTCATTGGTTAAAAACAAAGTACTGTAGCCCACTTGGCCAGATTTGAGTTCTGTAGTGCTATCACTTACTCTTCATTGAGAGCACAGCGTCTCTGAGTGAGGGCTCCATGCTTTGTTAGAGTTTCACTTAGCTCGAGGTAGAGGCGGTCAGCCAGGTTGGGCAGGATGCCCTCCCAGACCAGGATTACCACAATGATGCAGGCCGTTACACATGTGTGACCACTGCGTTCCCGCACCAGCACCAGTAGCTTTTCTTCTACGCTGGATCGACGAATCACCTGAAACATGACAGGTATGATAGTATGTGCACATGCACATATTTGAGGCAAAAACAAGAGCAGGTGATTAACCTACTTCCTTTCAACTGAATACAAAAATGATTCTTACCCATTTAGCTATGGGACACCCCTGTGTACTTTTTCCTTCCTTGCCGGTGTATATGACTTTCTCAATCCTGATGGCGTGACCAGTTAGGCCAGATCTTTAAAGCAGAATAGAGGCATTAAAGTAAACACAGGTACAATAGTACACAGTGGTTGTGTAACACAGTCTACGTTTACAGTAATTTTTCAAGAGGTAAAATTTGTGGCTAACCTTTTCTCCATCATCTCCCGTATACCAGCAACACTAGGTGCTGACCCCAGGTGAGTGTAGTATGGGCCTTCATCCTTCTCACTGATTTGTTCTAAATATCACAAAAGAACATTCATTAATATTTACACAACCAACTGATCAATCATGTTTCAGAACAAAAATTATGGTGACTCACCAACACAGTGACAGGATGCAATGTCATATTGGGTTTTCATTGGGGTATCCAGTAGATTCTTAATAGGGGTATCCAGTAGCTTCATAGGAGAGTCCATAAATCTTTGTAGGAGGTGTTCCTTCTTAGGGGTGGAATCAGGTGGTTTTTTTAGAGCTACAGTGGTGGCTGATGCAGCTGCAGATGATTCCACTCCACTCAGGTCAGTGTTGGCTGACAGGATCGTAACAGGCCCAGAAGACTCCACCTTGACTTTATTTGCCGCATTGATGACGAGGGATTTCTTCTCAAACACAGGTGAAAGCTGGTACTGGTTCAGGCTTTCTTCCATAGAGGCGAGGATGCTTCCCTGCTTCGTGCTTTGCGCGCACAGGGATTGTTGATTCTCCTGCTTGACTTGCATTCCACCCATGCCTGTCTCCACTCGCATCTGTAACTGCTGCTCCTGCTGTTGTGAACCAGACAACTCAAATCTAGGTCCGTTTTCCATTTTCACAGCTCTCAGGCCGTGTTTGGGGTCATTAGTACTCTGAGGGGGGTGAGGAGGGCCCTGGCGCTCTTGCCTTTGTAACAGGTGCATACGCAGGGCTGCATGCTTCTGAAAGTCTCCATGGGGACTTACAGGTCCCAGAGGTAGTCGAGGTCCCCTTTGGAACTGAGTGCATGGCGTCCTCAGCTGCTGTTCAGCTTTAGGATACATCTGTGTCGAAACCTGTTGGTTTAACGCACCTTGTGGTAAGTGAGGTTGTGACTGTGTAGAGGTCTGGGAGAAGTCCGTGTGGTTGGGCTGGTGGCAGTGGTTGTTAGGCCGCTGTGGTTGAAATTGCTTGAGGTTGCTGCTGCCTGAGTTTGGTGGATACTGCCTTTGATGTTGTAATTGTTGCGTTTCTGTTGAGTTATTGTAATTGAATGTTGTATGGTTGCTGTGCTGGATGTTTTGGTTGTTGGATTGAGCAGAAATGTTTTTAAGAGGCTGGTTGGGTTGAAGCTGTTGCTGACCTGGCGGAGGCTGACTGTGAGGTCTGTAATTGGGAGACGTGAGTTGCTGCCCTTCAAATTGTGGTGGGTGGGACAGTGGACGCTGAAGATGACAGTGCTGTTGTTGCTGTGTCGGTAAAAACCCAGGTGACAGTATATCCTGCAGGTCAGGGTCTTCACATAAGTGCTCTGACTGCATCTGGGTGTGGTAATGGCCATCTGCCTGCTGATTCTGGGGGAAGTTGCGCTGCTCAGGCAATTTCTGTGGCAGAGGCTGCTGCATTTGAGGTGCTTTAGAATTTGATTGCTGCCACTCAGGGGCAGTGTTGTGCTGGGCTGGAGCACAGTGTGTTTGGGCTGGGAGACAATCCTGTTGTTGCTGCTGGAAGCTGTTAGACCCCTGGCTGCTATCTGTGAAAACTCCTTGTGTCTGGAATCTTTGTGCCGGGTTTGGCTCCAACATCTGTCTGTGAACCTGATGGTTAGCTGCCTGCTGCTCTGACTGAGGTTTAGCAGAGAAGCCCCTCCACATGTCCTGCTCTTGTGCCTGAGACGATGGGCCACTTGCTGGTTGCTGCTGGGAATGTGAAGAGTTCAGCTCTATCCAGCCTCTCTGGTGGGGAGTCGAACATGATAAGTTGGCTCTCTGCTGAGACACGTTGTCCATCCCATTTTCTAACCCAGCATGATGTGGCTGCTGGAGACTGGGCCCCATGGATCCCATACTGTCAGCTCCACGTGGCTTCCCAGCATGTTGTTGCAAGTTCTGGGGTTGAATTCCATACTGATGGCCCCCATCAGTGCCATGGTGCTGACGCTGACCAGACCCGGGTCCCTCACTTTGCCCCATCTTCTGTATCCCAGAGTTGGGAAAGGGTCCGTATCCACCTGCCTCTGCTACCTGTAGAGGAGCACTGCGCTCTAGAAAAGAGTTCTGGTTAAACTCCTGGTTGGCTTTCACATATATACCTTGAGGGTTTGTGTCATTTGGATAACACTGTGGGCCATTTTGATGTTGTTTTGAGCTATTGGCAGTATTTGTTGGTGAGATCATACCAGGCATCTGACTTAGAGACAGCTCCTGACCAGAGTAAGAGGGTGGCCGCTGCTGATGCTGATGCTGTTGTTGTGGTTGCTGCTGGTGGTCTGCTCCAAAATTGTTGGAGTATCCATTCACTATGTAGTTGACAGAGTTGTAAGTTTTGCCTCCTTCAGCATCGCCAGATGCCCCAGACTGCTGTTGCTGTGAGTCAGGCATCTGAGCTGAATTGGACAATCCTGAGGTTAAAGACGGGGGTTGAGCACCTTCACTGGGCAGCTTGTTTGCCAGTGAGCCATTAACAGCATCAAGTTGTGACCCAGATGTTTGTGGTGCAATCGACACTTGCTCAGGATAATACTGAGACAAGGTTTTTTCTAAAAGATCACCCGGAGTGCTTTCTATGGTTGAAGGGGGTGATATAGCACCGTTTGGAATCGAAACTTGTTTACCCCTTGGTAGACAGAAAAGATCGCCATTTTGAAAATTACAGTTCCTCTTGTCTAACTTAATATCTGTCTGAGGGGCATTGCATTCAAAATCAGTTGGTTTTGTCAACTCAGGAAAGTTGTCCACCAAACTGGAATTCATGTCGACATTTCCTTTAATCTCAGAATCCACTTTAAGTTTTTTGGGTTGGTGGACCAGTAAGGGCTGCTCAGTGAGTGCATGCTTCAACTCTCCATTCATCAGTTCCCCATTCATCATGTAAGCTCCTTGATCGAATAGCACTTGTCCTGAAGCGGGGCTGTTGCAGTTCTCCCTGTGCCTTTTCATGGAGTTGGCACCTGTGCTGGGCTTGTAATGGTTCCAGTTCGTATCCCCAGTGATCTGCACAGAATTTCCCTCTGAAGACTGGCCTCCATTCTGTAATTTGTGAGAGATGTTGCGAGATGTGCCAAATTGTGCTAATATCAGACTTTCTTCCGTCTCATGTCTGGCCTGTTCTGTTTCCATCTGGCCTGCTCAGAGTCCATCCACAGGGCTGCCCTCTGTCCGTCCTGCAAGGCACAATGCGGAAGGCACATTTTGTTACATCATTCTTTAGCCACAGTTATGTTTTCAAATTCAGTAATACTGAAGGTACAAATACAAAGTGCTGTACTGTACCCAATGCATTAAAGCTGCACTTGGGTCTGGTCATGCATGCGCCAACAAAGGTAGTATAGTGTAAAAGCAAATGTGCTTCTTATTGTGTTGTAGAACCAACCAGTCAACTTTCAAGTATACACATAGTATGCCAAATCCTGTGACACAGTTTGATAAAGTTCATTTTTCTATATTAAGATTTCTGAATAAAAGCAGTCAATTAAGTGATGGTTTGGTTCAGAAACCATTTAAGTTTAGCTAAGTATTTTGAGGAAGATCAACCCTTCTAGTCCTTTAACATCAACTCTGATGCCACCTGAACACCTTGTTTCAAGTCTGAATATGGCCTTAGTGAGGGGTAAGTCAGTAGAGTAATGTGTGTCCACTTGGCTCTGAATGTGTATCAGCTGGGAAGGCAATCCTGTCATAGAATTAGATTCACCCTGACCTCATCCCTCAACCACCTGAAGACCAGACAGCAAGTAGAAAGTGAGTAAGAAGATGAGGATACAGATTAGAGGTTATCACAGGGCTATTTTGGCTAACAGTGGACTGTGAGTCACCATTCTGAATTTAACAGACACAGCTCAGCAAAGGCTGTCCTGAATGTATGCCATGTTTTGTGGCCACATTTTCAGTGGCCAGTATCTGTACTGCTTGGCAATATGTGTTTCCTTTTGAAGACACTTTTCTCAAACAAAAACATGTCACTTCCTGTTATTAATTGTATGTGGATAGCAATTCTAAAAAAAAATTCTGTCCCCTGTACAACTGTTCTGCAGGATAAAAATGGGGAATATTAGTGAAGTGCTATGACGATGCTGTATTGAAACAAAATTTTAGTTCGCAAAGATGTCCATCAACCAGTTGTTCAGTTTGCCTCCATAAAAACATAGCATAAAAAACATCATATTAAATAAAAAACACCAGGAACGTGTTCTAAGAGGAAATAGAAAAAAATGCTCAATTTAAAATGCACATAAATCATCCAGGGCAGAGGTGTCTGGAACATTTCTTTGCACAGGTTTCAAGTAACTTCCAATATAGAGTAAAATTTTAATGAACTACTTTTTTCTGGTTCATTAGTTATAATACCAAAAGACAGAATATATTTAACAAAACATAAGTCTAGTTGATTAAAGGCAGTAGGATTCAAGGTTAATGTCCCAGATGGCAGATGGGAGGAGGAGTTGGCTGCCTGTCAGCTGTTCACTTGTTGTATTCATCACCCTTACTACATTGTGATGTCAAATATGCAAATACAATTCGGTTCCCAAGTTTGAGGCCTTTGTTAACAGGGCTAAACTCTAGAATTGTGTCATGAAGTTATAATGAGTACAGAATTGAAACTCACCCCCACACTGACTTAATCATCCTAATAACATTTTTTGCTTAATGTTTTTTCAACTCGACAAAAAACGTCTGCCAAATTAATGTAATGTCATTAAATGTGTGGTGCAGTTGGTTCCAAGAATAAAGCCCCTGAAGCTCAAAATAAGGGTTTGGTTGCAAAATGTGGGTGTATATTTCCCATGGAGATCTTAATTAGTATTTCTGTCTAGCTTCAGCTGAGCATTAAATGTAGCATTTACAACACATGACACATCAATTTTATGTCTACATTAACAATATTTCCAGACTTGAAAAAGAGCATGAAAAAATAGGTAGATAGGTAAATAAAACTGAAAACTGAGAGCTAGCTTTTGATTTTTATAACTCTGGAGCTGTGGGCCTAGTGACAATGTAATATAAATAAGTAATAAATGTGATGTGTGGAAAATAAGATCACTACAGGAGGTTAAGCAGCAAGCTGAGCTTATGGTTTCATTTTGCTTCCCCTGTGCGCTCTCTCTCTCTTTTTCTCTCTCTCTCTCTCTCTCTCTTTTCTCTCTGCCAAAAGCAAATAGATTCCAGTGATTCCAGTAGAATATTGATTTCTGTCTGCTGCCCTCCATTATTAATGCATGTCACATCCGCAGCATCTGCAAAACAATTGCAGTGCACAGGCACAAAGAGCCGCAGTCTAATCTATCATAATTATGAGCAACTCTCCTGCAGATGCTAAAGGAATGGGCAGCTGATGAGCACCAAGAGGGGCCCAGATTCAGTATTTAGTATTAAAGAAAAAGACTTAGTGTTAAAACAGAGAGAGAGAAGCTGATTATACTGATTATTCAGATTTGTGGTTGGCAGGAGATAAAGGGAGTTCAGATGTCCTTAGACATATAGTTCACAAACCTGTGATTCAAATCAATTTGACTTCTCTTCCTCTTCCCATTGTTACATAGTTCCCATAGTTGTCTTGTATAAATCACTGTATGTACTGCTGAAGTTTATTTACCTGGTTTTGACTGTTCATTGACTTTAACAAAGATTTTCCATTTAGCTTGTGCTAATCAATATCAAACACAATATAGGCTGCCATCTTTGCAAACACGCTGTGCTTGTCCCTGAGCTTTTCTGCATACGTTGAAGACGGATGCATTTTCCTGACTTGAATTAGTGGTTTGTCCTCCAATGTACAACCATCCTGCAGCATCACAGCCACCCTCTACTCTGAATACTTACACAAATTTAAAACTATTTAAGCCAATGGTCTGATTCTGGTATTTTGTACTTTTAAGTCAACATATGTTATTAATCAGCGATTAACAGCTAGTAACAAGTTATTAGAAAATAACAAAAGAACAGAAAAAAACACACATAATAACCTGATCCTAATGAATTTATAAATACCAGCTACCGAAAAGATCCACATTCACATTACTCATCTGCTAATGTTCAAACCTTTGTGATCAGGTTGAATAATGTTAAATGGTGGTTTTAGAGATGTTAAATGCCTATGCCAGCGTTTCTCTCAGCAGGCATTTGATGAGACGTTCTGTCATGACTCATAATTTTTCACACTACACGCCTATTAGTGAAAATAGATTGTTAGTCTAATAAGTTAGTAGAAAAAAAATTATTTCATGGACCTCCGAGACACAGGCCAATCTATTGTGTAAGGAAGTGGTTATAACTGCAACTTTTCCTGATTTATGTTCTTAGATATCTAAGTTGGCTAAACACTGTGTGTGTACTTAAAAAGTAAATAATGTCTTTGGAGCCCTGAGTGAAGCCTTGGGTCACAACTGCCGGCTGCTATGTTCAAGTTCAGAAAAATATGCTATGCAACCTTTGAAAACATAATTGGATCCAGCTTTAGATTCCCACAAAAGCCCTCCTGTTAATGTAAACCAACTATAGGCTCACTATAGGCACTGACTGATGTTTGGGGGTGGAAAGGAAAAGAAAAAAAAAAAGGCTAAATATTTGAGGTACTGTATGGCATGTTTCATTTGGCATAATCGTGCTCCATCACTGAGCCTGATTATCACATCTGGAACCAGTTACAGCTGCTTATGATTCTGGCAAAAAGAGCTGTCGTCTTCAAAGGACATGTTTTATCCAAAGCCTGATAACCTCCTTTGAAAAATGTTTGTGTATATAGAGTATCCATTTCAACCACAAAATGCATGGCCTTTTAAAGAAAAATCGTCTATTAATTATGAACATTGTGTCACTCAATAAAGCTATAAATCAAGGTAAGATTCAGTAATGCTTTGCAACTCATCGAAAGGTCTAAAATATAAGTGAGTTAGATTTGACTGTACAGATTGCTAATATACGTTAGAAAAATATATATTTAATATATTAAACTACACATATAAGAAATAGTTTGCAAAGGTTTCTTTGAATGGAGCATCTGCAGCTCAAGATGTCATGAATTTTGGGTTACAGCCTCAGTCATCTTAAAACCAAAAACTTATTTCAAATGCTTTTCAAAAAGTTTTCATTTCATAAGTAATTGAAGACCTCAGGATACTGTGCTGAGAAAGCACTTATAATCAGGTTCCTGTTTTCCTTAACCACATTGTCTAACCGGGTCAAGTGGACCATGAATAAGGCAAAAACAAACAAAAAAAAGTCACCCCTCTGCAATTGTAGCCCGGTCAACCGCCTGGACCAAGACGATCTACACAGAAAACTTTGAGGCCAAGCCTTGCCCAGGCAGGCGAGGTGGTCAACATAATGATCTCCTTCCCCGTGTCAATCACCCCTCCAGGACATTAGCAGCCCTCCAGACCCCCAAAGTCAGAGTGCTAAATCTCCCACTAACGAGCCAAGCTGTTACAAGGCTGTCTGGAAGCTTCCACCTTTGTCACAACAGAGAAGCCAGCTGCCTGTTTGCAGGTGGAAGAGGGAAGCGCCACCTGAAAACAAAAAACAGCTCTCAGGCCAGTTGCTGCAGAAAAGAGCCTGAAAGTTGTCTTTTCATCTGCACTGGGTGAAAAGTCGGCATCCCAAACATCAGGTTTTTCTTTTGGAAAAATTGCCTTGTTTGCTTGATAGAAATCCATTTGTGCCATTATCCTATCCAATTTGAAAGGTTGTCATAAAGCAGAAGAAAGGAGAAATTTCTAAACCTCAATAAAAGTGGAAACACAACTGAAGTCATAAGGTGTTAACACATGATTTAAATGACTACCATTAAACAGATAGTGGTAATGAGAGTTACGCAGATTCTATGTAGATTTTCTAAGGATGATACCATGTGTGTATTTTTTTTTCAGAATTTATATCATTAAAAAGATTATATACAGAAAATGATTTAACAACCCACACAAAATGACTACTATAAAATAGACAAGTTTAAACTGTAAATGTTATGAATAAAACTATTCATAGGTTTGAAAGTTACACTGAGACAGTGCTGGAACCTGGAGATGAAACGTCTCGAGCTGCTCGGGCAACAAGTTGCTGAACTAATCTCCTTTCTGCTGCTGTCAGACGCAGACGGATGTAAAATGCCACAGCGGGATACCAGCACCAGCATTGTAATCAGAAGTGACACAGAGCCTCTTTATGATTA